AACTTGAACAGCTAAATACATGACATTAAGTGTTTTGTATATACGTTAGCATGGGCCAAACAAATTCCAATGATTTTCTGATAATAACGAGTTGTTACTCTTAATCAGATTTTAGTGTATTGTAAATATTTCATTACCGACAAATATCTCTGTTCCTTTTGATATTCACGCAAATCAGACCTAATTTCCCGTCTTATGACCCCCAATTTTACGAGAAATCACGTTTTTATCTTGTCCGATTATATGTTTATATCCCAAAGTTCTGGGTTCCAGTCGATACTTCGGACCGTGTCAGCCTGGATTATGATACCTGATTGTACGAAAAACTTGTTTTTAAAGCTTGTTCTCTGTCCATCTCTTGCAAAATGTTGGCGTCTCTTGCATGGCAACGCCTGTTTCCAAATATATTTCATATTCAAGCTGTATATTAAATAACAAATAGATTGTTTTGGGGTAACCTCTCCCTGTATTTAAAAAATCCGTAAATGTTCATATTTTTGAACGAACATAAGATATTTTTGAATCAAATTTTCTTTAATAATAATTGATAAGTTTGTAAATAGTATTGTACCTTGTAGTCACATATAATACATGTACGGTGGCTCAATAGGCCCTTTTCTATGGAAATAAATATGCATAGATGAATGTAAAATGCCACTGGCAAGAGTTATACAAAGATAATGTGCTCAACAACGCTTATTTTACTTATGAATATTAATCTCCCCAGGAAAAAGGTCCAAAATCATTTAATTGGATAACATCAAATTGGTCAATGTCAAAGTATATGAGTAAAATAGTGTAAGATATTTTATAGCCTGGCTTAGAGAAGTTGCTGTAGATATTACATCTCATTAAATAAGCATATTATTACCGGTACTTTATGTAATATTTGAATCCATTTTTATACGCTGACATTTTCATGTGGACGTATATTGTCGTCGGCTCTGTCCATCCGTCCGGACGTCCACAATTGTTTGTGAACACTCTACAGGTCACAATTTTTATCCAATTTCAATGAAACTTGAAATATAGGTTAATCCCCCTAAGATCTCGGTTCCTTTCGATATTGGCATGTACTGGACTGTAACTTCATGGATTATGGCCCCCGATTGTACGAAATATTACGTTTTGAGTTTGTGAACAGTGTAGAGGTCACAATTTTTAGCCGATTTGGTTTAAATTTGAAATTTATGTTTGTATACCCTGGCTAAAACAAGATGCTACATCTAATTAAATAAGCTAATTATTACTTTATGTAATATTTGAATCAATTTTATTTTCATGATATAATTATTATATTAAATTGTTATTAAATCTGTTTATTTCTACATTCAATTTGATTATTTTCTTTTATTCTCTTATTCATTTTTAATTTTAATTTCAATTGAAAATCCCACAGAACCTGATTTCCAAATCATCTAGCTTTTATATTCTAAATATAGAGCAGTGTAATATGACACTTATACACTGCACCATCTAAAAAGATAATAATTGGGCGACAATTTATTATCTTTGAGAAGTTGATGACAGGATTCTCTTCAACAAACTTCCATTATCTTTGAGGTCAAATTCCTAAACATGAAGAAATCAGGCTGATTTCTAGTTGGTCTTAAGAGTGTATAGGACATATAGGATAATATTCTTAATTTATATAATCTAATCACCCCAATATCGTTTTTTAAATAGTATTCTTAATTTATATAATAAACAGACTCTATTGTTATTTTTTTTAATTCAAATTAATTGAAAATATACTTCAAAATCTTTCAAACATAAGAAAAGACTCACTATAAAGCGAGGACGATTGGGTTCAATGTGTGGTATAAGGCAACGATTTTCTCTATTTCTAGGATATATAGGATATTATTCTTAATTTATATAATAAAATCATTCAAATATCTTTTTTTTCATGGAAAGTAATTGAAAAAAGTACTCCAAAATCTTTTAAACATAAGAAAAAGACTCACTATAAAGCGAAGCCGATTGGGTTCTATAAGTGGTATAAGGCAACGATTTTCTCAATTTCTTGGATATAAAGGATAATATTCTTAGTTTATATAATAAATCACTCAAATATCGTTTTTTTTAAATGGAAATTAATTTAAAAAAATACACCAAAACTTTGAAAATTAAGAAAAATATTCACTATAGAGCGAGGCCGATTGTGTTCAATGTGTGGTATAAGGCAATGATTTTCTCTATTTCTAGGATATATAGGGTAATATTCTCAATTTATATAATAAAATCACAGCAAATATGTTTTTTTATGGAGATTAATTGAAAAAAATACTCCACAATCCTTTAAACACAAGAAAAAAACTCACTATAAAGCGAGGCCGATTCGGTTCTGTGTGTTGTATAAGGCAATGATTTTCTCAATTTCCAGGATATACATGTGTATAGGATAATATTCTTAATTTATATAATAAAATCACCGTAATTAATTGAAAAAAATAACCCAATATAATTTTAACATAAGAAAAAGACTCACTATAAAGCGGGGACGTTTGGGTTCAATGTGGCAACGATTTTCTCTATTTCTAGGACATAGTAATACTTTTAATTTATATAATCAAATCAACCTACTATTGGTTTTTTTTATGGAAATTAATTAAAGAAATACTCCAAAATCCTTGGATTCTGTGTAATAGTGTGATGATTTTCTCTATTTCTAGGATAATATTCTTAATTTATAATAAAAAGAATTACTCTAATATAATTATTTTATGGAGATTAATTGAAAGAAATATCAAAATCTTTTAAACTTAAGAAAAAGACTCACTATAAAGCGAGCCAGATTGGATTGTATATGTTGTCATAGGATAGCCTAGGCCTATATAGGATAATATTCTTAATTTATATAATAAAATCACTCTAATATCTTTATTTTATGGAAATTAATTGAAAGAAATACTCCAAATTTCTTTCAAATATAAGAAAAAGACTCACTATATAAAGCGAAACCGATGGATTCTAATTTTATGTGTCGTATAATGCGATGATTTTCTCTATTTCTAGGACATCTACGATAATATTCTTAATTCAAAATAATAAAATCACTCAAATTTCGTGTTTTTTATGGAAATTAATTGAAAAAATATTCCAAAATCTTTTAATTTAAACAGACGCACTTTACAGCGAGGCCCAACAAATATTTACAAGTAGATCCAAGATCTGATTTTAGCCTCTACTATACATAATGTCAAGGCCGTACATCGAACTGTCAATCAAATTGACTGACATGTTCCTCGCTCTATATTGTACTCGCTTTATAAGATCTATCGTTAACCCACAATTACGCAATAGAACGCTTGGTAGTTTCTGTCATCCAGACGTTACGAATACTTGGGGCCCTGGGTGACCGGGACTAGACTGCAATTTTAGTCACCTCGTAATAATAGATAACTTGGCCAGAGTGTCAACTCGTCAGTAATATTTGTCGGCTCGGCTAAATTTTTTTATATTTAGTGCTATAGTTTCAGTGCATACAATCTGGGCATAACTGTTGTAAACGTATTTACCCCGTGCCCATCTATAACTAAGAGGTGTAGCACAATACAAAATGTTCTTTTTATCTACATATTAATCAACATAGAAATTTAAGTTTATTATATTTTAGAAAAATAAAACACCCCTATTATGCTATGGACTTATTTCGCTAATATTTGGGACCTAGAAATTGACACAAATGAGTCGCAACCAATACAATAATGTAATATGGATGTATATAAATCGATTTACATTCAATCGTTTCTGTTTTTACTGTAATTTCTAATCAGTTAGGTTCGGCGAAATACGCCAGTATTCTCAACCAAATTTCAATCTCAGCGTTTGGATTTTCCAGTCTACGCCGATAGAATTTATTGGGCATGCTCTCCAGATAAGAATATAGCGCCACCGTTTGACATGACTTGTGGAATATGTCTAGCCTCGTTTTTCGAGTCGAGTCCCTTATTACTTAATAGCACTGAAACGCATTATGGTACACGATTCGTGTATCAATTGTAAAATGTTTATTTTGTCTTAAATATTGGATATCAGAAGGCCATCTTTTCCCGGTAAGATCACAACATCAATGTTGATTTAAAGCGACAAATAAATCGTGTTTTCAATGTCGAAGATTTTGGATGATATTGAGTTAGAGACTTAGTTACTTTAAATTATTTTGACTGTAAAATTGCACAAAATATTAGCAGCTATTTACTGCCAAAGATAGTGAAGACGTTTTAACTGCAAGTAAGATCACAATGTTGATTTAAAGCGACAAATAAATCGTGTTTTCAATGTCGAAGATTGTGGATGATATTGAGTTAGAGACTTAGTTACTTTAACACGAAACTTTTATACCAAATGAAATTATTTTGACTGTAAAATTGCACAAAATATTAGCAGCTATTTACTGCCAAAGATAGTGAAGACGTTTTAACTGCAAGTGAACAGTTTATAAGTATAAGCTGGTGAGAACCTAGGAATATAAATATTATGTAATATTGAGATAAAGAATTCGCCGTTCTCGCTATAATAGTTCAACAATGAAATGAAATGAGTTTTAACGTCCTACTGGGCTAATGAAGACGGGCATACGCCATACAGTGTGCTATGGGGGAATTTTTGCCCGGACAGCGGCACTACGGCCTATATACTCTAATATCAAATTTCAGCTGTCAAGGGATCTTTTATGTGCACGCCAATGTATATACGGGACCTCGGTTTTTCGTCCCATCCGACAGCTGTCCTTGTAAAACATGAACACATTGAACTCTGAGCACAGTTACATGCATCAATAAAGTTTTGACAAGATGTGGCATAGATTGTTTATTACCGTAGCAACGATTCTTGTTAATAGAGACTAAACCTAGATTCACCATGTATAAATTAAATCATTAAATGTCGATCGTGATTCAACTCGTTTATATCTCCACCAGCCAAATGCTCTTATCAATATAATTATTGGTTACGACTCGACTTGCGCACGACTATTTCTAGTGACGGAGCCTATATGTGAAGGGGGGTAACTCTATGAATTTTCTGATATTTTTTGTTTACGATTTCAAAATTTGCAATATTAATGTAAATAATTGAGATATTTAACCATGAGTAAACCAGGGCGTTCTCGGGTTCAAGGTGGATGGGCTGGTCCTCCAAAAAAGAAGGATGCCCGCTCAGACATGAACAGAATCAAACCTCCTGAAGTTCCGATATGGACTGGAAAAAACATTGACCAAGCGTCCTCATCGTCGACACATAGATTTCAGTATGTTCAGCCATCAGCAGAGGTAAAATAACATAGTATTAGTAATGCATGAATGGAAATAGCTGGGCGGCGATGGTCATCAATGTTAAAATATGGATTTCCCAGCTGCCGAGCTCTCTAGTTTCCACATAACGCTCAGCGATATGTGACACATCCTGATTCTGGGGCTGGAGTTCTGGGGGCCACTTCGAAATTAATGGTTCCAATACTGATTAATGTTGACTACTGTTCTCCGTCCTGCTCTAGGAACAGACAGACAGGCAGACAGAGCACGGCTACACTATTGCAGTTAGTAGGGCACACTAGCCTCTTGTTCTACCACTCGAAGTCCTGCTCCAGCCACAGACAGACAGACAGAGCACGGCTACACTATTGCAGTTAGTAGGGCACACTAGCCTCTTGTTCTACCACTCGAAGTAGTGGATCGGGGGGGGGGGGCAAATCTAGGGTGCCATCCACAATCCCACCCCTCAATGATGAGAATGTCAACAAAATACTGGCTACAACACTATAGTTGTTCACCTATCGTTATCTCGCCGTAAATGCAGTTTTATTCAAGTTGACATAATGATTGTTAATTTACCGTGCACCGTATTGTTTTTTTTTGTTTTTGTTATTTAATTTTTGTGAACCCTATAGGGGCAGTTGCTATAACACTGAGCAACCTGAAGGGGGGAGATAATCTCCCCCAGAGGAAATATTGAAAAATTGAGTCAGTATGCTGGGATTTGAGGTCATTGCTGGGAGCAAATTCTTGTGAACGAGAGGACAAGAAATGGTAGTCAATGAGACAGAATCGAGATCTGCCTGACAATTCCGCCTTTTTTTGTTGACAGAACATTTGTACAGTCTGTCACTCCACGACCCACACACTAGATTGTACTTCTAAGTAGGCGGTTCACCATAAACATGAATATAATAGTGCTGAGATAGTATAAGACCACAGAGGAGTGATGCCATAATGGAATTGAGTGCCGCAGGTGCAAAAAAATTTCAGATAGCAACGTATAATAACTGAGCTTTTATAATTGTTTGGGACTGGGCCTGAAAATTTTAGTCAATGTTATGGCTAATGGGAGCAAATTCTCATGAACAAGAGGATAGGAAATGGGACAGAATCTCAAGGCCTGCCTTTCAATTCCGCCTGTTTTGTGACAGAGAAGAGCCATCTTAGTCAGGAGCTAGGAACTCCTTAATTGCCTTACGAATCCCCGGTTGTACATGACAAGGAGTAGGGTCGCCTGTCCAACCTCATGGTTTTTCTCCGGGTTCTCTGGTTTCCTCCCACTGCTAAAGACCCCTACACGCAAGCCAGTTATTGAAATGAAATTAAAACCATATGTTAGTCCCTCAATGACCTTGTTTGTGTCGAGTGGACATTAAACCCCATTTCTCTCTCTCTCTTAATTGCCTTGGTTCACTGTCAATGTCATAACTAGCTTAATATCAGATGTTATGAAAATGATATAAAACAGATTTTCTTTTCTTGTATTTCAGGAATTACAACAGAAACCGTCAGATATTATTATCAAGTAAGAAAAAAATATTTATCAAGACTAGTCTTCAGCATAGCTGCTAGTAGTAGTAGCCTTATAGTCAAGTCATGGATTTCAGCCAGTAGCATTATATGTCAAGACCATACTGCTCAGCAGTGAATATTCGATAAGCCGCTACAATCCGTGATGGGGATGACATCGGTGTGTCTTATGAGCTTGCAATATTAACTTTTTTCTTTCTGCAAATTAAATTCTAGAACATTTTTTTGAAGTATTAGAAAAATAAATAATGGTGTTTGAAGTATATCTAGATAAAAATATTTCCTATTTAATGTAAAATATTAGTATATAAAATGAGTAAAAGGCACCATTCTGCCAGAACCAGTTCACGCTATAATGTCAGACTAGTCCTATGTAAACAGTGCACTCACCATGGAGCCAATGATTCACGCCTCGTGATCTGACGTCACATGTTGAACTTATAAAGGTCAGTCATCTGATACAGAGTTATTAGAAGGCTTTTGTAATACGTCTGTGAAACAGATTGAGTCGAGACTTGTAAGAGATTTCTTATAAAAAGTCTGCGGCCAATTGAAGACTACTTTAACCCATTAGATTGGGTTGATTTCATGTTTTATTATATTTTTATTTCGAGACATTTAAAAAAGGGAAGTTGGAGTATTTTCTAATTTTTTAAATCTTTTTTTTTGACTTAATGTCAACCAACACAAAATCAGTTACATCTCATGGCTGGCTTAATGACCTAGTTTGTATTATTGACCTTTAACCCTCTCTCTCTTTGAAAATGAAATGAAACAAAATGTGGTTTAATGTCCTACTGTTCTGCGCCGACTGGGCTAATGACGATGGGCATACGCCATACATTGTACTATGAGGAAAATTTTGTACACGGCAATGTGTACACTGGACCTCGGTCTTTCATACCATCTGTATGACTAGACAGCTGTCCTTCTCCGGACCTCTGTCCAGCACCACTGACAATAGTGACAAGGGGAATCCAAGCAGGAAAATCCTGATGAACTTTCTCGGCCAACACCGTTAGCGAACCCTCGACCTCCATTCTAGCGAGCCAGTGTCTTACTCACTTAGCTACCATGGCTAACCTCTCTCTTTGTATAATTGAAAATTCATTCTAGACCGAGATGAAAGAGGCGGTGGATGAGAAGTTTTAGGTTCTGCACACTAAATCAATTTTTTATTTAAAGTATATAAATGAGAATAGCTTGGAATATTTCTACTAACTTAAGACTGAAATGAGAGATTATTTAATGTGGTTTATTTTATGTTTCAGTAAAGGAGGGGTTTATGATATCAGTGAAGCTAATAATGGAATTTCAAGGTACAGTGTAAATATGGGGAGCAGAGGTCGCAGTGGATAATTTCGAGTCACATAAAAATATGCAGACATTCCAAAATTTTGCGTTTTTGCCCACTACATCTGCACGACTTAAAACCTCTCAAACTACGCAACAGAAGCAAGTAAAATCGTTATGTGAACATCCCTATTTTAAGCGTACTTATTTTATTGATACTGCATTTAGTCTAATTAAGACTAGAGGTTGACGGCATATCTATGGTTGATGGCACAGTCATTTCAATCTTTCACTTCGACAGGAAGTAAACTATCGCTATGAAAACCAATATTTGATTGCTGAATGTAAACAGTTTATTGTGTTCTAGCCAATCCAAAGTCTTATATGAAATGTACTTTATTGCTTCAGTGCGGCAAAATAGGGGTGTCACAGAATAGCTATGTATAGAATTCAGGCTTAATGAAATGACAGGAAATATAAAAACCTAAGGAGACTGCGTACAGTAGCGATGTGTTAATGCTGCCGTGTGAAGCACATCAATTGATGACGTATTGTACAAACTACGACATAGAATAATCTAATTATTCTCACGTCAGGGATATTTTTCGCGTGTGAATTATGCAGCGACTGTCAATATTTGCGTTTATTTTTTACAAAAATATGAGAAAAACATGGATTTTTGCGTGACTGCGACCTCTGATGGGCAGTTACTAAAAAAAAAATAGCATGTCCACCCTACACTTATACCTTTAACATACAATACTGTACATCAATTTATTCATATACAAATACGCCATAATACAACTCTTATAACCAAGCCTGGACGTAAGGCACCTTCCAAATTCATTGACAGACACAAATTATCACACAATAAAATGAAATGAAATGGAGTTTAATGTCCTACTGTTTTACTCTGACTGGGGTAATGAAGACGGGCATTAAATTATTTTTAATGAAATGAAATTAAATGGGGTTTTACTGGGCACTGCTTGGGCTAATGAAGATGGGTTCTTTGAGGAATATTGAAACTAGAGCTCTCTTTAAAGTCACATTTGCCTGATTGGACAGATTGATAGCAAAATAAACTGTCAGACAATCCACATGCCATAAATAAATAATCTAAACATGTCTATAAAAAATGGGATAGTTTTTTAATTTTTCTTCCGAAAAATTCTCTTGCTATTCTGAGGTAAATTAAGAAAATGTTGACACTTTTAAAGTGAAAGCCCTAGTGTATTTAAAATGTTACAAAAGTACAGAAATTTATGTTTTTGAGACAGTGATAATACGGAAGACCTGCAATAAAAATTGATTCATCGACTGTCTTTACATAATAGAATTCCTTGTAGTTTGTAAATTATATAAGGTTGTGTGTGTGTGTGTGTGTGTGTGTGTGTGTGTAGGGGGTGAATGGTTTAATGGGTGTGCGTTAGATCATAAGGTCATTGAATAAAGCAGCATGGATTCAATTCTTGGCTTGTACGTGTCAAGGAGAAGGGACGCCTGTCCAACCTTGTGGTTTTCCTCTTGGGCCCTCCGGTTTACTCCCAAAGCTAAAACATAAAGACCCTTATGTACAACTAACTTATTGAAATTAAAGTTACAATTTCATATTTTTAAGTTATATTTTTAAAATTTATTAAAATAAAGCCTTAAAATAGTATCTATAAACAGTCCTACATTGTTAATGAATAATTATATTTATCCTATAATTCACTATTGCCAGTTGAGAAATTGGCAAAAATATAATTTTCAACTTCAAATTCAAACGTTTGAAGATAGCTATTCCATGGGGGGAATAGGAAAACAAAGGAGGTAATTGTGTTATTATTTCTTGTGTCAATGATTTTTAAGTGTAGGAAATAATGCCTATGATCGTATAATAGTGCGTTGATAACCTATTGAGCAAAAGACATAGAAATAATTATGTTTTGACTTTCTTAGAAAATTTGAAATTCTCGTTTTAAACAGGCATTATGGGAGATTAGATAAAGAGCTACCAGTTCTCGCTATAATAGTTAAAAAATAGATAACCTAAAGAGAATTTGCTGAAATTTTCAGTCAAATTGCTCCACTCTGAACCGAGATATTAGCGATTGAATTTTCGGCTTAGCCTCAATCATCATTACTAAAGTCGGTACGATAAAAAACAAAGTCTTGATAATCTATTTTGACCTTAAATCATCCATCACAAAATGTATTCAAATCCAGTAAATATCACAGGCTAGCGAACTGGAAAAGTTAGTTAATGTCTAATTAATAATTTAGATAACATTTCAGGACCTGCAGTAGGCATATTTAGCTCTTGCATATGTATGTTTAAATGGAACCATGTTAGTTCAAAATGACATAGTCTTTGTTAAATGGACTTCAAACCCTATTTCTCTCTCTCTCTCTCTCTCTCTCTCTCTCTCTCTCTCTCTCATTTTCTGGCGTGGTTCCCCCTTGTCAGTGATGCAGGACGGAGGGCCTGACAAGGACAGCTGTCTAGTCGTTCGGATGGGACGAAAAACCGAGGTCCCAGGTACACATTGGCGTGCACGTAAAAGATCCTTTGGCAGTTGGAATTCGATATAAGAGTAGGCCGTAGTGCCGCTGTCCAAGCAAAATTTCCCTCCTAGCACACTGTATGGCATAGGCCCGTTTTCATTAGCCCAGTTTGGAGCAGAACAGTAGGGTGTTAAACCCCATTTCATTTCATTTCATTTCTCTCTCTCATATAAAGGCCATGTAACCTTGAAAGATTAGAATTTTATGATTTTTTTTTTTCAGGTTAAGATTTTTCCCAGATTTTTTACAAAAAGAAGAAGCGGATGGGTATTTTGCAGAATTGTATGAATCATTACCGTGGAAACAGACGACAAGTGTAAAGAATGGAATATCTTATATACAACCCCGATTGACAGCGTGGATCGGTGATTTACCGTATACGTACTCGGGTATTACCCATCATCCAGATTCAAAAGTAAGTAGATTGAAATCGCAGTCAGACACATATAAAAAATGGAGGGGGTGTTGGTGGATGGCCGAATAGTTAGCACATGCACGCTGTATCATAAGGTCTGTCATTGCGTCAACTGGCATGGTTTCAATTCTCTGGTTGTACATGACAAGTAGTAGGGTCGCCTGTCCAACCTCGTGGGTTTTCTCCGGGTCCTCCGGTTTCCTCCCACTTTTAAAGACCCCTACGAACCATATGTTAGTCCCGATGTAGAGTGAACATTAAAACCCATTTCTCTCTCTCTCTGATATAAAGTGTGCATTATAAATGATGCTGTTATGATAACATAGATATAAGCCATTTCTTAGATTACTTGAGGTCTTTTTTCACCAAGGAAATGGAATGAAATGGGATTTAACATTCTACTGTTCTGCACTAGACTCTACAATTAAAAAAAGACAGGCATATGCCATACAGTGTGCTATAGAGAAATTTTGCTAGGACAGTGCTGTTAGCTCTATGAAGAGGGGTTTAATGTCTGACTGTTCTGCACTTAACTGGACTAATGAAGACAGGCATGAGCCATTCAGTGTGTTATGGAGAAATTTTGCCTGGACATCCATGTTAACTCTGTGAGTGACTATAAATATACAGTAAGCGTGAATGAGCATGGGAAGGTGTAAATAGTCTTGATCTGGTATGGGGTGATCATTGCAAGCATGTAACTGTAGGTTGAATGTTTAAACTCATTGTATATATCATCTTTATGGTTTTAATGGTATAATATATTCTTATAATCAATCCAGTTTTCAGGCGACACTACAACCTACTCTTATTTCAAATTCCAAGGGTTCAATGTGTACTCAGGACTTTGTTTTTTTTGTCCCATCCGAACAACTATATGTTGTCATTGACCCTTTGGTTTCTAGTGGGTTAAACCGTTACCAGCTATAAAAGTATATTTATGTTAACTGGCCTTGGTGGGTTTTTTTTGTCTCTAGTGGGTTAACCCATTACTATGTCTGTGTTAACTGGCAATCCTTGTTTTTTTTTGTTTCTAGTGGATTAAACCATTACCAGATATAAAAGATAAAATAGAAGATTTGATTGGTTATAAGTTTAATTCGTTATTATGTAATTTATATCGCGATGATAAAGATGGTGTCGAATGGCATTGTGACGACGAACCTGAATTAGGACCGCAGCCAGTCATAGCATCCATCTCATTAGGAGACACTAGAAATTTTGAATTGCGGAAAAAACCTGTACCCGTAAGTTATTAAACTGTTCAAACAACACAGTGTATGAAAAACCTTTAAAAACATTTAGTAACTGGATATACAGAATAGAGCAATAATCTATAGCACATAACTCCATATTGACGACCAAATAAAATAAGTAAATATTCTTCCATTAGTATGTGTTATAGTTTATTGCTCAGGATAAAATGAAAATAAATGAAATGGGGTTTAAAGACCTACTTTTCTGCACCAACTGGGCTATTGACGTTGGGCATATGTCATGCAGTGCTATGAGGGAATGTTATCCGGACAGCAAGTTTCTGCCAAGTCTTCATCGAATTCCAACTATAAGAGTTCTTTTACATGTATACCAATATGTGTATGGGACCTCAGGTTTTTGTACCATCCAAACAACTAGACACTGTTCCTTGTCAACCCACTGTCCTGAACAACTAACAAGGAGAAATGCCTGAGAAACTTTCTCGGCCACAACAGCGCACACTGTATGGGTTGTTTGTACTCAAATCTTTGTGTCCGTGAAGAAAAATGGTAGGTTTGGTGATCGTACGGGTTAACACCAACGTAAGATCAGAAGGTCTGTCATTGAGTCAAGTGGCGTGGTATCGATTCCCCACTTGTACATGACAAGGAATAATGGCGTTGATTTTCTCTGGGTCTTCTGATTTCCTAGCACTGCTAAAGACCCCTACGCACAAGCAAAATATTGAAATAGCATTGAGCCATAAGTTGGTCTCGAAATGTCCCTCCCCTTGTAGTTAACATATTATATCCCCCTTTGATATATATGTCATCCCATGTAAGTTTAGAATTATTTTAATAAATTTGTGAGAGCCTTTTTATTGGTGGTTCTCGGAGACACAGTTCACATTCTTCCCCACCTCTCATGATCTCACCTGTCCCCAATTATTGTTTGGTAACTATGTTTTTATTGCAGAATACAGGAGATTATTCATTTAGTCAAGTAGTTCGTATCCCATTAAAACATGGTTCATTGTTAATAATGGAGGGAGCTACACAAGATGATTGGCAGGTAATCTAAACCATATCCCACTTATCCTCATTTCTGATTACTGCTTCCAGACTTATTAACCTTGATCATTTTGAAAACTCTTGTGGGCACTTTAATAGATGCTAAATTTATACACAGTATATATATACTATATAGGCTCATGAGACAGATGCCTATTGATTTTCAACGATTTCTGATTACTACTATCAGTGTTATGGCCCCTGGTCAATTTGAAATTTATGATGGGTCTCCTAGAGGCTAAAGTTATCATCTAATTAACATCCAATTTATTTCACATTGTTTCTGTTCATGAGAGGCAAAAGCCTAGTCTTTTTCAATGATTTTTGAAAACTCAGACAGCTAAAGTTATCATCTGATTACAGTACATGTTTTGTTTATGTTAGCACCCAGAAGAACAAGAAGCCCATCAAATTATTTCTAATAATTACCTAATGGGTTGCAGAGGCGGATCGCCCCCCCCTCCCCCCAAAAAGCAGTATAAAATTCACTATATGAAACATGTAAATTTAAGCTTTTTTTTTTAAAATTTTGTGGAGCCCCGAGTACACACCCTCCCCCCCCCCCCCTATCCCCAAGCACTTTAAACAATTATCATGCGTCTGCCTCTGATGGCTTCTTTACATAATTATTAGGCTGTCTGAAATGAAATGAAATGGAATGGAATGCAGTTTAACGTCCTACTGTTCTGCACCGACTGGATTAATGAAGACTGGCTTATACCATCTAGTGTGCTTAACACATGACACAAATATATGGAATACAAGTTACTTGAGAGATTTATTTCAGCAACGTTTCGACGTGGGTTCTCCCGTCTTTATCAAGCAAAGAATGACACCCATAGTACAAATAGATCCGCTAAGTAACCTCTATTCCATGTAATTGTGTCATGTGCTATTCTCATTCAGTTACTAAACGCCACTTAAACAATTAATAGTGTGCTACTCTTATTATTATGAATTTCAACTGCCAACAAGGGTTTGGCTATGTGTACATGGTACCTCGGTTCTCTATCTCATTACAACCACACTGTCCTTCCCAGGCCTTCTGATTGTACAGAAAAATCCTTTTGAACTTTCTTGGCCAACACTGGGAGCAAACCTGAGACCTCCTGGTTAGCAACTCTGCACCATAAGCACTGAGCCACCTCAGGTCGCCCATATAAGGATATAAAATTTGCCCTATGATATATCTTGACAATTTAAATGTGAAGTGACATATGCTTTAATATTTTCTATTTTCAGCATCGGGTCCCGAAAGAATATCACGATCGAGACCCCCGGATAAATTTAACCTTCAGAGTTATCTACCCTGCCAAATAGGTGACAACAACACAGAAATTGTGTTGAGTGACTGGTGATATGTTATCTTTATATATGGTTTGAAGTGGATGTGAATGCTGCAATATCCAAAGTGATCAATTTATTTTTTATAAATTATGCCTTTTGCATAATAATTCATTGTATATATATATATATGTTTGATACTGGCAGAATGATTACCCAATACTACTAAATACTAACCCAATACCACCAAATACTAGCCCAATACCACTCAATACTAACCCAATTCCAACCAATACTAACCCAATACCACCCAATACTACCAAATACTAACCCAATACAAACCCATTACCGACCAATACTAACCAATACTAACCCAATACCAACCAATACCACCAAATACTAACCCAATACTACCAAGGAAATGAGACTACATATTACCTCATTATTTTGAAAGTCTGACAGAATACTTCAGTTATATAAAAAAAAATGAGGTAGTATTTGGTTAATATTGGCTAAATCGTCCTGCCCATGTGACAATGTAAAGTTGATATTGTTCACTTATAAACAAATAACTTCTAATAATGAAAAGGTCTTATAAAAACAGATCCAAGTCTACATTTTATATATATGCAATGTATACAAAACTAGTCAGATAAAATGTGTTATGTCACTAAGTCGTTCAGGCTATGATATACAGATACAGCATTACACTACTAAAGGGTTTGTGTATTCAATAGTGATCAAGTTTGTGTATTTAATAGTGATGGGTGTTATAATTAGTCACGCTTTTACACTAAAAGTGACATCTTTTACAGCTAGTAACACACCTGTATAATTTTTACCACTTTCTATACTTACTAAACATTAGTTTAATGTTGACTTGTATGATTTAATAGCAAAAATTGTCCTTACTAAAAGGCCTAGACTAAGCACATTTAGACTAATTTTGACTTGTATTATTTAGAAGTTTCATTAGTAAAAGTGATTGCTTCATAAGTGAATGTTATGATTTGAACATTTTATTCCTCCCTGATAATTGACTGAGGGTTTAATAGTAATTTTTAATTATAATGTCAGTTTTATCATATATTAAAATCATTTATTGTTATTGAAGAGTTTTATTGTAAACTTTCCCAGTCCACAAGAGAAGTGATGTCAATCAGATCTTCTAGAAAGAGAGATCACACATTGGTCAAGTGAATATGGCATGGCTCACCAGGAGTTTCTGAGTTTAATCTCGGTGTTGGCCGAGAAAATTCCTCTGGATTTTTTTACCATAGTTTTCCCTTGTCAGTGGTGCGGGACACAGTGTCAGGTAAGGAAGAGTGTCTAGTCATTCATATAGGATGAAAAAATGAGGCACCCTTCCATAAAAGAGCATTGCAGAAATTAGGTAAGAGTCTGGACAAAATTCATCTCATCGTACACTGCATTTTCATTACCATGAGGAAGCCACGGTGGCTAAGTGAGGAAGACGTTGGCTCACTAACCTGGAGGTCCCATGTTCGATCCCTGTGTTGGTCGAAAAAGTTCATCAGGATTGTTCGGCGTGGTTCCCTCTTGTCAGTGGTGCAGAGTGCAGAACAAAGGGCTTGGCAAGAGACAATGTATAGTCATTTGGATGGGACAAAAAAACAAAGTCCCGTGGCGTGTACACATTGGTGTGCACATAAAAGATATATATTGTTAACTTCTACTCCTAAACTAATTGATGTATTTCAATTCAACTAGTGTGGCAGTCGCAGCAAAGGTGTGGGGGAGGAGGGGCAAAATTTTATAATGGTGTCCCAGTAGATGTAGTAGTTTCTGCAGGCAGCGCAGCGCTGCGCTGCACTAAACCAAACAACTTTCGAGTCATGTAAACCCTTCAACAGCAAATTTTTACAATTATGAACCTGTTTTGCTGTTAAAATTACTTAAAGTTCTATCCCTAGATTTGTATTTCCTGACGATAGGGATGGGCCACTTAAATTATTCGCTGCAAGGCAGACATGGGGTCGATTACATTTGCAATGTAATTGATTAAATTACAATTACTTTTAAATTGCATAGCCAATTTGATTGATTGATGAACAGCGAAGGTAACTCAGGTCCAAGAGTTTATAAAGTAAACAATGTTTGATTTTAATTTTATTGATTTGTAAAAACAAATGAACAGAATGCACATAGTAGATACAGAATTATATACATGTATACAGTATGTATTATATATAATACAGTTACTGGTAGTAGGTACAGTACAAGTATTTATTACAGTTACCGGTCGTAGGTACAGTACATAGTATGTATTATATAAAATATACAGTACTGGTAGTAGGCACAGTATTGTACATAGTATGTAGTACATGTATATAAAATACACAGTACATTTAGTAGGTACAGTACACAGTAGGTATTATATGTATACAGTACATGGTATGTATTATATATAATACACAGTACTATATACAATACATGGTATGTATTATATATAATACACAGTACTATATACATGTATACAGTGGTATATATTATATAAAATACACAGTACATTTAGTAGGTACAGTTACACAGTAGGTATTATATATAATATACTTATAGTCCGGCAGCAGGTGAGAACCATGGAAATATAGTCCAACTAATGATATTTTAACTATTACAGTAAGCATGGCAAGCTCTTTATCTAAATTTTACATAATGCATCATTAAGCACACTGATCATTGTTTAAAACATAATAAAGTTGTAGCAGTTAGATATGGAACCTTGCCGGAATAAATTAGTACCAAGTTTTTCAGTTTATTAATTTGAAAGAAACTGGGAATAAATGCCCACCCCGTAAAAAAAATACTGGTCGTTGCACTTTCAACAAGCTGATTTAGGTTGCACCCTCTGACAGCTTATATGTCATTGCAGTGGCCAGCTAGCCATTTGACTTTACTTTATCTGAAGTCGAAATTTTGTCATTTTTAATCAGTCATCCTTATAGATGCATTATGTAAGATACAGAGCTGGCCGTTCTTGCTACAATAGTTCAAAAAAAGATAATACAAAATGAATATATTGAAGAGTTCATTCAAATTACTTTATTCTGAGTGAAATTGTCAGTTTTGAGTTTCGTTTCTACATATACGTTTCGTTTCTACATATTCAAATGGCTGAAGCGTTCTAATCTACTTAAAATCGAAGCCATTCGATGACATACAGAGTTGATTATGGGCTTGCCATGTTAATAAATGTTTAAATAATAGTTTATATAACATTTAAAGCCAAAAAAAAAACCTGCAATGGGCAGATTTAGCTCTTACATAATGCATCTTTAACCTGTCATAATTGTTTAAAAAAAATTATAATTAACACGTTTAGAAATTCCATAATTTTCTATTTTCTGTTCAATCTGCTTCCGAACTCGACACTCCAACAGATCTGTTTTTAAATAAAGTGCATTTTTAGCTACATGTAGCTAGCTAGGACATGTTTAAAGCACTTATTTGCCCCTATATTAGCTAGCTAATTAGCCTTGTTACAGTACACATGTAAAGAAGCACTTTTCAGACCCCATTTCAGCTAGCTAGCCTTGTTACATTACACATGTAGTGAAGCACCTCTCGACCCCTATGTTAGCTAGCTAGCCTTGTTACAGTACACATGTATTGAAGCACCTCTCGACCCCTATTTTAGCTAGCTAGTCATGTTACAGTACACATGTAATGAAGCGCCTTTCGGCCCCTATATTAGATAGCTAGCCTTGCTATAGTACACATGTAATGAAGCACCTCTCAGACCCCATATCAGCTATATCAGTTACAGTACACATGTAATTAACCCTTGTGGGTGCACGTTGTGAGAATCACAGAGCAGGTACCATGGGGTCCATATGGACCCCAGTTATAATTCAAGCTTTTTACATACAGATATATTTGAACTAAAAGGCAGCGGTTTGGTTTTTATTTGCATTCAGACCGTATTTCAGCTAGCTAGCCTTGTTACATTACACATGTAATGAAGCACCTCTCGACCCCCATGTAAGTTAGCTAGTCTTGTTACAGTACACATGTAATGAAGCACCTCTCGGCCCCTATTTAGCTAGCTAGTCTTGTTACAATACACATGTAATGAAGCCCCTATCGGCCCCTATATAAGCTAGCTAGCCTTGATACAGTACACATGTAAGGAAGCACCTCTCAGACCCCATATCAGCTAGCTAGCCTTGTTACAGTCCAGTACACCTCCCAGCCCCTATATTAGCTAGCTAGCTAGCTAGCTAGCTTGCCTAGTCACAGTACACATGAAATGAAGCACCTCTCAGACCCTATATCCATATTGTAATGAAAACAGTACAATACTTTTTGAATTATTCCACTTTAAATAGGGTACTTGTTTTTTTTCTGGGCCGCCTGATATACATATAAACACAATTATACAACCCATACTTTATATAATGTAATATACAATAACAAGCAACATGTTAATTAGCATTTATTATATAAAATACAATAATTGTACAAGAAAATTTCAACAAGCATTTTATTCATCCTATTACACCAATATCTGATACCTTGAAGTATTAATCAATCATCTGATACCTTCAAGTAATAATCAATCATCTGATACGTTTAAGTATTAATCATCTGATACCTTCAAGTATTACACAAACATCCGATACCTTGAGGTATTCAACTAACACCTAATACCTTGCGGTATTGGACATCTGACCATCTGAATAAAATACAGATCTATATTTTGTTTCGTATTTTTATACTTTCGATGGCCTACACAACACAAAGATCTGACCAGTTGTACTGAAAGGTCACGTCAGGGGTCATACTTGCGGCTTTTGACCCTATGACATTAGACATTGATTAATCAATCAACATTGACGTTTATAGGGGTTTACCCAGTCCCGTGCAGAGCACACCAAGAACTCGCTGTAACAGACCGCTTCATTGGTTAATTTCCCCCCCCCCCCATCAACTAGAACACCTGTTATATAACAATTCTTCCAGATCCTAGTGTTGAAGACAAAACGAAATTTTTAACTATAAAAAACGAAACGAAATAAGACCTGTGTTTTAATCAGATTGGACATCTGATACCTACACTGCAATAGTTGAGTACCACATATAATTAAAGTTATACAATAACGGTATACACGTTAATTTCAACAAGCATGTTTTAAACATATATATAGTTGCATGTTTTAAATGTATAATTACATGTTAACACAGAGATATTGTGTACAAGAAACCGGGAACATAGAAATGAGATTTTTGTTTAATTTATATTAATTTAAATTTTTTTAATAATGTATGCGAGATGGTAAGATTCTGGCGAGCATTGTAAAAATCTTCAAAACAGAGAAAAATTGATCAATATTTCCCTGTTGTAATTATGTAATAATACAGGACATGTTAAAAGCGTTATTCCAATGGCCAGTTATTCTAAGCCTAGAAGTTACTAGTCATTCCAATGACCGGTTATTACTAGGCCTAGAAATAACCAGTTATTCCAATGACCGGTTATTCTAAGCCTAGATTTGAGCAGTTATTCCAGGCCTACAAGTAATGATTTTAGTGACAAAATGTAAATAGTGATCTAGAACCTGACATTAATTTTGTGCCAGACATACATGAATAATAATCAATAAAAACATTGAAAAAAGACAAATCTGTAACCAAAAGTGACACCAGAGGGATGATTATGCCTGACAAATTCAGAATTTGCCTGTAAAAGATTCCCTATTTCTAAACTTGCTTCTCATAAATTTCAAACTCCCTTTAGGTTTTTGTCCATGTAAATACATGTAGTAAGACATTTTATTACAACTTACGCTCCTGCTGATCAAAACCTTTTCTTTGTTTCCGACTAGCCAAAAAAATATGCGTAAAAACAAATGTACATGTACATTATCCGAATAAAACATATCTCTTAACCGCTGGAATCTATTATCACAAACAATTAAAATACAGATCAACAGTGAGGCTAACAATTCCTGCCTCAATCCCAAAATAGATGACACTTATTAATTACTTTCATATTCTTGTATTTACAAAGATAACTCCAGACATTCACCTACATGTAATGAACACATGCATCTATTTTAACATTCTAGCAGAAGCAAAGTTATTGAGTCCCAAAAGGTGAGACAGACAAGATGAATGAACCCAATTTATGAGTCCACTGCTTTATTATAAAGGTAGGGGAACAATTAGATTATTTCACAATCATCAGGAACTAATTCTGTTATTTTTCTAGATATACATGTAACCATCATATTATAATGTAATGCCATTTAATTTCAATATTACATTTGAACCCGATTTCAAGAGAGAAATGAAGTTTAACCTCTACTCGACACAAACTAACACATACATGTAGTTCAACTTTATTTTAACAAAGGTCTTTCACTTGGGTATAGGGGTTTTGTTTTATATTAGTCATTTTGGGACTAACACATGGTTCAACTTTGTTTTAATAATTCGCTTGCGCATAGGAGTCTTTAGCAAAGTCCCACATGTATACTAATGTCCAAAAGAAAGTATACACTGTGCATTTCGTCCTGCTTCAAACAAAGTCGTTTTTCCATTGTATGCGGTATTTGGGTACAATGTCCATTTGTTTTGCTATTTATTTGCTTAGAAATATTGAGTTTGGACACACGAGACATGTTCAGTGTAGTTTTATCACATTTTGTTGATTTAAACAAAACTTATTCATATTTTAAGTGTGTATACTTTCTTTTGAAAATTAGTATATTATGTTACTGTAAGAGTGCTAAACCTCATTGACTGACCTATCTTCATTAACCGAATTGATGCAGAACAGTAGGACGTTAAACTCCATTTCATTTCATTGACTGACCTAAATTAAGATGTTGAGCAGAACAGTAGGACGTTAAACTCCATTTCATTTCATTGACTGACCTAAAATAAGATGTTGAATTGGGTTGAGTTGATATGTTCTCTCTATTACAGACAAGACAAGATCTGTATGATTAAATTTCAATTCTTAAATATAAAATGTGAAATTCAGTTTCATTACTAATTTTAACTTATTTACATCTTGTTTTTAACTAAGACAGAAAACTCTTGAATTGAACTTGAACACAAAAAATCAAAACCCTTGTAAACGATTTAATTTTTAGTTTTTCATGGACTTCACAAATAAATAGCCAAATGTGTCTCGTAAAAGACGTTTTGATTAAAACTTCTAAACTTTGAAATTTGAATTTTATGCTTTACAGATAAGCAGAAAAGTATTTTTTCATGTTAAATGGTTTTCTTTCCCAATGAAATAAGAATAAAAAAAAATTAATAATGTGTTCCAGAATAACAAAATTTGAAGTTGGTCCAGTCTAAAAACTACCTGGTTGAATAGCCAGATATGCATCATATTTAGGTGAGACTGTTGAGCCTATTGGCTAAATGTAGTGGGAATATATACAATTATCTACAAACGGTGACTGGATTATCTGCCCTCTTGGACAGAGTTATCTGCCCCTTTGACCATCCCTGTGTCTGAGCATGCCTTTACACATGGACTAGAAGTTTTTTCAAGGAATAATAATACATTTACACTGTATGTAATGAAAGCATATATTTCAAAACCTCACTGATACTGAAATTCTTAATTAAATGAAGGAATAACATGTACATATCAATGCATATGAAATTAATCCACCAAGCCATTTATGCCACCATGCATTATAGACAAATAGCCTACACAGAAATGTTCCATTTTTAACATGAACAGACTATAAACGAGATACTAAATAATAGATGTGATCATGTCGGCCAAACATGTCAGTCAAGATCGTGCGCTATAGAACATGACTGAAACTAGCATATTTTAAAGCCTTCTTGTTGATTTTAGAAATTCATTCTCTTTTTTCCATATACATATTATCTTTAGTAATACATGAAAATGCTTTTTTTTATTATACATGCACTTTATCGAATTGGTACAGCGTGGCGTAACCACAGAGGTCTATTATGGGAAAATTTCTTTCAAAAATCTAATAGGAACAGGGCTCGAAATTCGTTTTTTCGATCGAAGGCCAACTTTGGCCTACGATAGGCCAAAGTGCAACCTTGATCCAAGGCCAAAAATTGAAAATCCAACGCCAATTTTTATGTCATGAATTATGATATTATCAGCTTATTTAGAAGGTTTTAATATGTCGATCATATGTAAATCTGTTTACTGTAGATCTTGTTTCTCAGTCAAAATGTTGTTACAGGCCTGCCTATCACATCACGTTCAATATTTTTATTACTTTTACAAAAATAATGCATCCTTACTTACGGTTATTGAGTTAAGGGAGAAAATTCTTATCGTACCGTTTTTAGTACAATTTTTTTATTCTAAAAAATATTTTAAAAAACAGCATGTAGCCATATTGAGAGTTGAAAGTATTGCTATATCATCGGTAGAGCTGGGTAAAATATCGATAGTATCGATAAGATATGCCAAAAAGCACTATCGAGTACCGGTATCGTTCTCTTCGTCTATTTTTTCGTGCGTGCGTAGGAGTCGACTGGATGTTTTCTGTGACTTAATCCTTCGTATATATATAATAATACAATAGCCTACATCGGTCACTTTATATTTACTTCAAAGTCTCAATCTCAATTTAGCTTTTTAAAAAAAATGTTCACCCACATTTAAACAATACTTTAGTTTGAAACAATAATCGCCATATCATGGAATTCGCTAAATTGGAGATACCCGGATGTGTAAATAATTCAGAGTTTTTCCCCTTTCAGAATTCGTCTGGCTGCTTATATAGCAATGATGGATGACAAAAACGTTTGTATTTCTTCTTTCGGAATCAAGGCTGTATTTTTTTAATAATAATGAACAATTTACGAATTCGTGATAACAAGCTCTTTACACATTTTCTTTAGTTTTAGCACATGAATCGACAACGATTTGTCCACCATGTTGGTATTTGTCGCGCTCACGTAGGCAATGTTTTGAATCGACTCGTGCTCATTTTATTTTGGTTCCTGCACATACATAGGCCTATCAATGGTATTTCGTCATTCAGAACCAAGGCTACATTATTTAAACAATTTATACGTAATATGAGACAGTTTATTATTAATTAGACGAACAAAAACATCGTATGGTTTGACTTTAAAACACGTAATCCATTCTTCATTACGATCGTGAAAATAAGATTGTTTCGATACCGATTATCGATAGTAAAAATAACTCTCCATACCCAGCACTAATCGGCGACCATACATGGCCGTGGATAGTTAAAAAACGGCCACGAATCCGCGGCCAAATTCTAAAATTCGAAGGCCATGGTCGTCGAGGCCGCCGGCAGTGTCAAGCCCTGAATAGGAACATTATTTTGAAGCAACAACTGGATTGGAAAACAGATTATGTCTAAAGTCTATTACGTTCAAATGTGCATACATTGTACAAAGGGAGATAATCAAATTCAGGGACAAAATAACTACACATTATAGAGAACAGGATTTAGATGTGTAATACATGTGTACACATGTGTGCTACTGAATTTGATTATCTCCCTTACTTATGAATATACAGGTATAATGATAATAACAGACTTCAGGCATAATATATAGCCTTAGCTTTCTGCTATATTTAAAAAAGATTTTCCATGGGGTATTTTCTAAACTTCATTTTATTTATTAACTCGTTTATTGTATATTCCGCCTCTTGTCTCAAGTTTCGGTACTGTTAGAGTCACATATTTTATAATCACAGATATTCCACTAAAATTAAAACTTGTTATTTTATCCGCAACAACCTGGGTTGGATTTCGACTTCTTATGAAGGTCAACGGTGTTGCCATGAGCAGGTTTGATGTCCATTCTATCCTCCAATTCACGTAAACGCTGTACAGCAGATTTAAAAGCTCGATCAACATTAGTGGAATCTTTTGCACTCGTTTCGAAGTAAGGACTTCCCCCATTGGCTGCACACCAGGCTTTAGCCTCTTCTTCAGGGACTAATCGATTTTCTACATCTATTTTGTTGCCTAGCACAACAAAAGGAAAACTATTGCCATCTTGGATATCGGCATAAAAAAGGAATTCTTTCTTCCACATGGCTAAATTTTTGAAACTCTGTAAGTCATCCACAGCGTAAGTCAATAAACAGCAATCGGCACCTCTGTAAAATGGAGTACGAAGACTCTTGAATCGTTCTTGACCCGCTGTATCCCAGATTTGCATCGTGTACGCCTCAGAATCCACTTCAACATCCTTGTTTAAGAACTCTACGCCAATTGTATGGAACGACTGTGCATCAAATTTATTACTAACAAAACGATTCATCAACGAACTCTTTCCAACACCCCCATCGCCTAACAAAACAACTTTCAACAATTTTGATTTTCCCGCCATTTGATCTACCTTTGGATTCTGAAAAATAAAACAAAAACACAGAAATAAATTAGTAATAAATAAGCTGTGACCTACTGATTGTCTGGCAACAATAATCCTTTGAATTCAAACATAGGTGACGACGATATACGAATACATTTCAATGTGGGCATATAACAAAATAACATTTTGCTTCCGAGAAATTCCTAAAATAATCCAAGATAAATAAATGTAGCCTCTTTTTTGCTCTCTATATATTCAAGGTTTGATGGTCGAATGGCCAAATGCCTGTCATTAGGTCAAGTGGTGTTTTTTCGATTTCCCTCCGGTATGTGAGAACCTCATGGATTTTTCCCAGTTTCCTCTCACTGTTAAAAACCACTACGCACAAGCAACTAATTTAAATAAGAGAAATTGGCAAGCAACGAAACATACGCCCACAGTAGCTAAATCACCTGAGTGGTCGACAAGGGTTGTCCCTTATTTATTATTTTTGTAGGTAATGGGGGCATTTACAAGACAATTTCATACAGATCAGATTATAATTTTCATGGTTTGAGGGTTTACAAGGTTCTACAAACTGAAACAAGGGCTTTAACTCTGAAAGTACAATGTAATTTACAGAAATTGCTGAAATTCAATCGGCTTCTCTGTTTCACTAATTTACATGTAAATGATGCATATATAAATTTCACAAAAATAATCGGATAATAACTTTTGTCATTCAAGTATTCACAAGGTTCAACAAATTAGTGACATAAGACACAAGGACCATACATTTAACTCTAAGGCATAATTTATAGAAGTTGCTGAAATTCAATCGACTTCTTCGTTTCACTAATTTAAATGATGCATGTAAATTTCATACAAATCGAATGATAACTTTTGTCGTTTAACTTCATCAAGCGTTGCCAAGGTTCAAGAAAGTGAACAAAAGACATAATCAACGGAAATTGCTGAACAAAAGACCATAACTCTAGACATAATCAACAGAAATTGCTGAAATTAAATCAGCTTTTTCACTTCACTAATGAATATGATGCAGATTTTAAAATTTCATACAGATCGGATAATAACTTTTGTCGTTTAACTTTAAGCGTTCACAAGGTTCAACAAAGTGAACAAAAGATCATAACCCCAGACATAATCAATGGAAATTGCTCAAATTCAATAGGCTTCTTTGTTTCAATTATTTTTAAAATAATGCATCATTGTAGATCGGATGATAACTTTTGTTGTTAAAGCGGTGCTTAAATTCAATAGGTTATTCTTTTCATAAATTTAAATGATGCATATAAATTTCATACATCCGATGATAATTTTTGTCGCTGGACCATTCACAAGTGGCAACAAAGTGAAACAAGGGCCATACTCATAACTCTAAAAGAAATTAATGGAAATTATTGAAATTAAATAGGATTCTTCATCCCACTAATGTAAACAACATATATCAATTTAAAAAAAATCCAATGATAAATTTAGTCTGTAGAGTGTTCACAAGAAATTGTGGAAGACGGAATGACAGCGGACGGGAGCAACAGCATTATACCACATTTTTATGTGGGTGTATAAAAATTGAACCTTATGTTAGTCCCCCCAAAAAATGGTTTATATTGAATGGCTCTTAAACTCCATTCTATTGTTGACAGCAGGGCTGTCTGTAATTTTTCACAGATGATTAGCAGCACTGCTAATCAAAAAGTCCAATTTTGCCAAATTTGATTAGCAAATTTAAAAATTGATTGGCAAATTTAAAAATTGATTAGCAGTTTTTTAGTTTCAACATAAAACACCTCAATAACAAGATATTACTTTAATTCATAACAAATGATTAGATTTCATTCTTAGATTTTTTTTAGCACTGCCACATATAGTTGTGACAGTTTGTGAATGTGATGTAGACTTTTAGTTAGGTCTTATGTCTGAAGCCAATTCTTTGCAGTGACTTCCAAAGTCCCAATATTTTAATTGTTATTTCTTTATTACGTTACTGCGAATCAAAGACGTTAGATTTTAATTTTTGATTGGCAACGGTCAAAATATGTATCGCAAATTGCGCTTTGATACTGGTTGCCGGCAGACCTGGTTAACAGGTATATCAATTACAGGTAGGGAGATTTAAGTATTCAACCTGTTGACTTATATTTCAATCATTCACCATACATATGAATCATTTTGTGGCACAAATTGTGATACTACATGGACATGGATTACTTTCAATCACAAGGTTGATCTGATCAACAAAAATACAACAGTGTGGCTATTGTTCCCAACCGCAATACCCACTAACCAAATAAATAGATGACACTCATTAAAGTTCTGATGCGCTATTTTAATTTTAAGCAATGGGAATCACTTGCAATCATTGTGACAGCTGAATCTTTAATAAAAATATCAGTCCAATAATGGTTTAATTCCATTCAGTATTTACAAAGATATTTGGAATTGAAATTTCATCGAGCTATGCTGCTCTCTATATAACCCGCTGCGACTTTGTTATCCACAAAAAATCTGACGGAATTCAAGCCAGGACATTGTCTAGCATTGGTATTCTGATTCTGTTTTATTAATTAAATGTTAAATAATTAATCTGGGTACATAACACAACAACATGGATTAAGTTGTGAGATATTTTGGCAATGGCGCAATTGTTATTTCAAAGCAACATCATGGAAGATTTAGATAAAGAGCATACAGTTCTCGGCCTAGCCATAATAGTTAAACATGCATTAAGAGCTAAATCTGCTTATTTTAGGCCTTAATTTAATTGTTATCTAAATTATTAACTAGACGTTAGTAACTTACTAATCAGCTATCGATGCCATCGTTCACCTGTGATATTTAGCGGTTTTAAATACATTTTGTGATTGATGATTTAACGTAAAAATGGATAATCGAGACTTTGTTTATTATCTTAACATCGCAGTAATGACAATCGAGGCTGGCCTAAAATTGAATCGCTAATATCTTGGTTCAAAGTGAAGTAAATTGACTAGAATTTTCAGCATAATATTCTGTTTTCATTATCTATTTTTAACCATTATAGTAGAACTGTCAGCTCTTTATGTAATCTTACCTAATGCCCCTTTTAAAAAATAGATAACCTAAAGGGAATATGCTTAAAAATTTGGTCAAAACACTTCACTCTGAGCCTAGAAAACCGAATTTTAGAAACACTGTAGCATTGATTGTCATTGTTACCATTGTTACGATAATACACAAAGTCTTGATTATCCATTTTCATGGTTAATCATGAACAGTCGTTGAATCCAGAATCGCAGTTCGGATTCAAATCTGATTAATAAAGTACCCATCCTATTCCTATGGCAGCGAACGTTGATTGTCTTGACATGTTGTTAATAAATGTCTATTAATAGTTTATATAACATTTAAGGCCTAAATAAAGACCTATGATAGACAGATTTAGCTCTTGCATAATGTATGTTCAATTAATAGCACATATAAAAAGTGCTGCTTAACCTGAGCAGAAAATGTCAACCATCAAACTCAGTAACCTCAAAAAAAAACTACACCAAACTTGAACATTGTGGCACTAGCCTACCTCAGTTACACTACAGGTTCCAAAAAGTGTGACAGACGGACGGGTAAACCCCATCATCTTTATTGTACACATTCATTCTTTGGTCGCAGAATTACTGAGAATGTGAGCTGATTACACATTCTATTTTGCAATGAAAGTAAATTCTAGATGAGAAATATTACATTGTACCAATAACTTACATGACATAGCAAATCAATGGATGACATCCTAAGTTGATGAACTTAAAAACCAGGCAAATAGCAGGACTTAAGCCTATTAAGTTGTTGAGCAAACAGAAAGATAATATCAAACTGGTATGAAAATGCTAAATGATCAGTGATCACTCATTAGTACTGTGACATCAGAGGTCTGTCAATCCAACAAGGATAATAGTGTCAAAATATTACAATAAATGGGTCCACCTACATGTAAAACTCATCAATCAATCAATACTCCTGCACCTCCAGAAATGGGGTTTAACATCCACCTGACATAAACTAGGTCATTTCAGGACTAATTACATGTAGTAATTACATGTGATGGTACAATTTTATTTGGGAGGAACCTGGAGGATATACATGTAGGGTAAACCAATGATGTTGGACAGGCGACAATACTCCTTGTCATGTAGAAACTATGGTTTAAAACTACAACACTTGCTCAATAACAAACATTATTGTCTAAACTGACCTGGGACAGTGTTTCCACCTACAGTAAGTACTCTTTGTCTTATTGTTGGGTGGCTGAATGGTTAACACATGCGTGTTGCAACATAAGGTCTGTCAAAAGTGGCATGGTTTCGATTACCCGTTTGTACCTACAATGTAACAAGGAGTAGGATCACCTAGGTTTCTCTGAGTCCTCCAGTGGGGGGTTTGGTGGCCGAATGGTTAGCACGCTCGCGCTGTATCATAAGGCCTGTCATTGAGTCAACTGGCGTGGTTTCGAATCTCCGGTTGTACGTGACAAGGAGTAGGGCGTCTGCCACGCTCACAACGGACCAACGGTTGTGGTCAAGACGACAATATAGGCTGAAATTGTGGAGGGTTGTAAATTATTTGCGGTTCACGTAATTACATATATAGTGACATCGAACTGTGAACTATACACAAAATCAAACAAGATAATCAACCAAACATGAAATTGCTAAAAAAAAAAAAACAACCCAAAACACCTGAAATTGTCGAACGAAGGAAGGGGGTTTGGCTAGCCTAGTCTAGGGAAAGTGTCAAAAAGTCTGACAACATCATTCTTCAATATGTTCGCAGACCTTCATGTTCTACTAATCAAATTCGTAATTTTTTGTTGTATAATATTACCCGAAATACTTACAAATGTATTCTATATATTTATCATTATCAAAAACTCATTGGCCACGTTAAAATACATTAGTTTTACAGAGAAAGAAATGTCACATACGTCCTACTCACTACTGGCAGACATGATGAATATCAATGACGTCATTTTACTCATGTGATGCGTCACGAGACGGATGGGGGATTCCCTTCCGGTTTTGATGTTTCGGTTATCCAGGCTGGTTTTGGTAATCGCCGCAATCACCGCGTGACTAGACACGTGATCCTTTACGAAACAAAACACAAGAAAGGGAAGTCATTGTATGATTGAGTGTAGTTGTCTGCTTGTTTGAGAAGTAGAGGATTATCGGCTTATCTAGAAGAAAGATGCAGAGTGAAATTATGTTGTGTTTGATTGCCCTACTGTCACTGGGTCTGGTACTAGGCGACGTGTTAAAATTTCAGCCTTCAAACTATATCCCAGCTAGCAAGGTAAGTCTACGCTTCATTGGAGTGTCGAGTGAGGAGAAATTACGGAAGACCATTAGGGTCAATCAAATGAAAAAAAAAAATATTCTGATTATTTATATTGTCAAAGTTTTTTTGTAACTATCTTGTAATTACAAGATACGGAGAAGCCTATTAGGGTCAATCACGCATGAAAAATGTGTTATTTCAAGGTTGCCCCACACTGATTTATCGGATAGCTAGGCCAACGAAGTACTTTTTTATGTTACAGGATCGGCACATTCAGGTCATGCTCCCATTAATATCATTCATTATTTCATGCCCTCATTAGAAACCATTCATTAAGTTCATACTGTCATTAACTTCATAGTCCCACCAACTTCATACCGGTACTCTCATTGATATCGTTTATTAATGATTTGAGTTCATTGATTTCATCCGCACCATAAAGCTACGGAACACTATTTACATTTTTTGGAAAATTTCCTTAATCCAAGCCTGAATGCAGTCATTGTTTTTTAAGGCGAGTGATCGCTCTCGAGCGCCTGCCGCTCACCTGAATGTCGACCGAGGGGAGGATTTTTTCCATCCCCTTAAAATTGAAAATCGCTCTCCTTTACAAAGTCATTGGGGGTTTATTATCATTATCAAACCAGGAATGACCCCATTACATGCAGTTATTGATCTTCAGAACCATTTCCCATACACACAACTAATCACTCTCCTTAATATCAGATCACTCTCCTTAATTTTTAAATCACTCTCCTTTATTTCTAAATCATTCTTCTTATCGAAACTGGGAGAGCTTATTTAGGGGAGCAATTTTTTTCAATTTGTTGATTGAGGGGAGTTTTTTTTGGCTCTCCTCTGAAATAAAAAAACCAACAAAGTTGTGAATGTACACAAATTGATTATTAACAAGATAGTAACATGTATCCTGTAATTACAAGATAATTAGAATATTTTTTTTTCATTTGATTGACCCAAATGGTCTTCCGTAAGAAATGATCAACCATTTGAAATTGATTAGATCAGTTGTTGGTTTCTTTTATAATACAGCCGCATACCGAGGGTATTAGAATAATATTTCTCTTACACCGACATCAATGTTAAATCTATCCTAATTGACTTCACCTATAAGACAATGGTTTACCCCATATCGGTTTATTATTCCAACTTTTAAAAAAAAAGTTCACTGTCCACTGATTTCTGTGTAAGGTATTTACATGTATGGGCACGGCATTGTTGGCACATTCACTGAAGTCTTTCTTGTCACTCGAAATTGAAAAGGGTTTATCATCCATTTTTATCTTGCTTGTTAAATATTTGAGTACATTAAATCCTTGTTAAATATTTTCTGCATACATTCTGCACTTTGACTAGCTTTAAATAAGTAAAAAAATCTGTAAATAGGTGAACAGCCTTCCCAGATTTCTCTCAGCTACTAGTTTCGTTCTTATTCGAACTCTTCAGGCTTAAATGAGGATGTGCGGTGGCCTTCTATATATCGTATCGGTGGGCACTGGAGCACATGTGACGTCACAGATGGACTGGAGTCGATCTTTGGCACCGGAGTCGATTATTCTGAAAAGTGTGCAAAGATATTCGGCTAAGAATTTACCGTCATGATTATGCTTATTTGCATTGACACAAGGCTCCTAACCCTTTTAAACTCTTAAGTTTAAAGTTTTCTAAACTAACGAGGGCTTAAAAATAACTATTAGGTTATAGGCATGTATGCACTAATTTTTTATTAGTTTTATTAGTTTAATTGGGAACTCGTCCCTGTTTTTCATATTCTGCTTTGAGTTAGGCTAAGAATTATGCTACTATTTCGCATACTTTGAAAAGCGGCTCTAGGAAAATCTTCCTTGAATTCAACAAGGAGCTCACGAGGTTGTAGCTATCTTGTTAATAATTAATTTGTGTACATTCAGGCTTGGTAGTATTTAATTAGTATTTGATGGTGGGTAGTATTTGGATTGGGTATATGTATTTGGTGGCACTGGGTAAGTCGTCCTGATGCTAATAACTTAAGTCCTAATGGTCATGTTGGTAATGCCATGGACGTATTATAAGGTCCATGGTAATGTCTGGTTGACACACTATAATTCCCCCAAAGTTACTTGGGCAACCAAGTGGCACACAAGCCGATCCTGTGCCAATTTCTTGGTAATTACATGTATGTCGCATGACACTTAATGGTAAGCATATAAGCAATGGGAGAATATGTTTGGCCATTTTTATGTGGATGTATTATGCCGCTGCGTCTGTGTGTCCATTCACATTATAGGATGTGAAGAATTAATTAGATTAACCCCTTTATAGGGTGTGAAAAATTAATTAGAATCCATTATAGGGTGTGATGAATTAATTAAAATCCATAAGGCGTAAAGAATTAATTCAAATCAATTAGAATCAATTATGAGGTGTAAAGAATTGCTTAGATCCAATTATGTGTGAAAAATTTAATAGAACTCACATCATAAGGTGTGACAGTTTCATTAGAACCAATTGCAGGATATTATGTTATAGCCAGGTCACTGCGTTCTACTGACCAATGTCTGTTTGAGACAACCAAATTTTAAAATGAATAAATATGGTCCCAGATCTTTTTCATATACACGTACATGTATCTCTGCTCCTCTGCTTTGGAATTCATTGCCCCTAAACCTGAAGTCTGCTGAAAAATTAATTTCATTTAAATCAAACCTGAAGTCAAGATCAATCTTTTAAAATGTAATCTTTAGAAAGGACATTATCACTTGGTGTGTCGTCGGTGCTTAAAGTATGTCCCTAATGTGATGTCGATTTTTAGCCCAATCTACATGTATATGATGCCTTATTATGGTTTGTGAAATCTAGAGAGATTATTTATTGTATCTTATAGTTTCTTGAAGTCCTTCTTTAAAATCTCATGAGCATACCTCATGTACATGTATAAACAGAAATTTCATTCTCATCAGCATCATTTTTGTATAAAAGATTTATTTTTAAAAAATATAATTGAAAAATACGAATATTGATAATTTTCAAGCTTGGATTCAATCCGATCAAAAACCTTCCCATCTGCAGTGTTTCCCTAATGTTGACAAATTTTCATTTCATCATGTCTTTGTAAGTACTGAACAGAATTGAACCATTTTTGTGCTGACATTGATTTAAAGGGGCTATTCCGATTTGAACAGAGTCTCAAAAATAAAATTCCGAATAAGTATAAAATTTAAGCGCCAAAATATAGAGGAATGGTTTATTTATCTTGTCCCAAAAATTCAGCTCAAAATATTGAGTCGTTTGTACGTGAACGCCAAAACTGCTTATCCGGACACGTAACCCTTTTAAGATTTCGGATCAATTTTTTCGTTGGGTGACCTAATAATCGATTCCCGTTCCTTTAGAGGTCTATACAGTGAATGACCAATGTGCTGTACTTGATAACGAAAGGTAATTTTCACCTACACATTATTTTTATTTTATAAAAATCTGGTTTTATCCAGATACCGCATAATACAGCTTGGGACACCGGTCTCCATTTCTAGATGAAGACTGACAGGTTTAAGTTGTTTGAAAACGTATCACATATATTGAGTTAGTTGCTCGGCCCTAAGGTAGAGGATTATAAGGGATTTTAACACAAAACTAAGCAGTTTTATTCTCCAAAATATTATCGGGATTGGCCCTTTAAACAGGCATATGCAAGAGCTAAATTGGTCTACTGCAGGTCTTTCTTTAGGCCTTAAATGTTATCTAATTTATTAATTACATATAGATATTAATTAACTTACCAATACCATAATCAACTTTTGATGCCTGTGATATGTAGTGCAATTGAATACATTTTGCTGTGGATGACATAACCATAAAAATGGATAATTGAGATTTTGTTTATTATCGTAACAATGGTAGTAATGATTATCGAGGCTAGCCTAAAATTGAATGGCTAATATCTAGGTTCAGAGTGATTTAATTTGACAGAAATTTTCAGCATATTCTCTTTTCATTATCTATTTTTTAACTATTATAGCGAGAACTGTCAATTCTTTATCAATATTTAACATAATGCCCCTTTAATTTAAGAGATGGATTCAATATCCCTCAAATGACAATCAGCAATTTTAAGGAAATTAAACTTAAAAGATGCATTATGTAAGATTTAAATCTTCCTAAATTGTAGATCTTTTTTTTTGGCCTTAAATGACATGTTATATTAATTATTAATTAGATATTTATTCACATGGCAGGTCCATATTCAGCTCTCCAGATGGTTGTGAATTTGAATGGATTGAAACAAGGTCGCCATTTAATAATTTAATTGTCCCCCGCCTTTCGAAGAAAGCAGGGGACTATTAAAATGGGTTCGTCCGTCTGTCTGTCCGTCTGTCTGTCCGTCACACTTTTTGGGACACAATAACTCTCTTCCTAATTGAGCTAGAATGTTCAAACTTGGTGTATGTGTTTATTAGGTCAATGCCTTGATGGAGTTCGAAGATGAGCATTTTCCGCTTAGGGTAAGCAGAGATAAGCAATTTGATTGGTTGATGCTTTGGGACACGATAACTCTCTTCCTAATTGGGCTAGAATGTTCAAACTTGGTGTATGTGTTGATTAGGTCAATGCCTTGATGGAGTTCGAAGATGAGCATTTTCTGCTTAGGGTAAGCAGAGATATTTGATTGGTTGATGCTTTGGGACACGATAACTCTCTTCCTAATTGGGCTAGAATGTTCAAACTTGGTGTATGTGTTGATTAGGTCAATGCCTTGATGGAGTTCGAAGATGAGCATTTTCCGCTTAGGGTAAGCAGAGATAAGCAATTTGATTGGTTGATACTTTGGGGCACGATAACTCTCTTCCTAATTGAGCTAGAATGTTCAAACTTGGTGTATGTGTTGATTAGGTCAATGCCTTGATGGAGTTCGAAGATGAGCATTTTCCGCTTAGGGTAAGCAGAGATAAGCAATTTGATTGGTTGATGCTTTGGGACACGATAACTTTAGTTCTAATTAAGTGAGATTGATGAAACTTGGTGTATAGTTTCATTACAGTAATACCTTGACTAAGTTTGATAATGAGCACCCAGTTATGCAAACGAAACGTCTTTATACAAACTTTTCCTTTTTATAAGCTCGTTTATATAGTTTATGCTTTAGTTCTTGAAGAAGCTTTCCAATGTATTACCCTTGTAATTCCTCCTCTTTTATCTGTACAATATTTTCGAAAAAAATGAAACGAAATCCACTTATGTATACATTTAGGTTACATTATAGCCTACATGTCCCGACTCAACTTGCCACATTACATGTCATAATATTATAACCAGGTATTGATAAAAGCATCAATTGAGCAATTCCAATACAATCCAATACAATGAATATAGGCAAGGTAAATAAACAAATAAATGGAAAAAACAAATTGAAAAAGAAACTATTATAAATTAATTAAATATGTAGTATGCAATAATGAATTGACATTTAATGACAGAAAGAAAACAGTGAACTTTGCACAACTTGCAGCAAGATGGAAAATAGACCCGTTGATACAACCAAACTCTAGATCTGTAGGCATAGAGCATGTTTTCCCCTTAATATGCTATAATTATTCCATCAAAAACATTGTATGCTTAGACTATAAGTAAAGATATACTGTTTGATTGTTCAATACTTTGTAAAAGATAATTTGTGATAAATTTATATGTGTCCTCTAATTATTTTCCTATTTCGGCGGGGGACATCAGCCTCACTGTTGGCTTGTTTAAAAATGGATAATCAAGACTTTGTTTATTATCGTAACAACAGTAGCAAAGAAAATCGAGACTACACTATTCTTCAAACATTCACAACTTCGCTCTGAATGAAGTAATTTGACTGAAATTTTCAAAATAACTTTGCTCAAAATATAGTAATTTGACTGAAATTTTCACTATCTTCCTGTTTTTTTTCATATAAATCTGTTTTTGTATTATTACAGGAGAAGTGTTACATGTAGCTCTGTATCTAAAGCTTACATAATACAATTTAAATGTACATGTAAACTTCCTGATGATTTATGATCTTAAAATACAATCTTTCTAGTTTACGTACCTTACATGCAGCCTTTCAAGGACAATTGAGGAAAATTATTGTCAGTTTCATAAAATTTTCCCATATCGTGTTTCATTTTACTTCCTTATAGATGTAAATGTTTCCTCATTTAGGATTAACTTGACCCAGTGATCTGTACATACAAATTTTGAGAAATGAAATACCTCCTTTAAAGAGCTAAGTCTTTAACTCAATATTTTGCATGATATTAAGAATTAAAAACATCAATTTTAATCAATATTGATGTTGTTATATTGCTGTGAAACTATAGGTTCCTAATATCCAATATTTAAGACACAATTAACATTTTATAATCAGTACACAAGTCATGTACCCTATGGTTTCACCGTTTCAGGTACCATTTTGTAGTGAAAAATTAAAAACATAACATGGAAGAAATTCGTAAAGGCTGATTCACCAATTAAAAAATATGATTTAAAAAACGTGTAGAATCCACTAAGCAGACGTAAACGACTGCTGTTCAATTTGAACTATTTCACCGAGCATAATTTATTAGAAATTAAATATTTTTTTTCTAAAATTGAATAATAAATCACTTTACATACATTCATACGCCCTTTGATGTCACGCTTCAACAACATTAAGGCTATCGAAGACTAACAACAATCCCAACTATTTTTGTCCTATTTAAATGAGACTTAATAATGTACATGTACAAATGTATGCACATCAAATCTCAACTTCTTGTTTAAACAAACATTATGCATAAGCTAAATCTGCCTATTGCAAGTCTTTCTTTGGGCCTTAAATGTTATATAATTATTAATAATTAGACATTTATTAACATGACAAGATCATGATCAACCCATAATGCCATTGGATAGCCCCAATTTTAGGTAAATTAGAAAGGTTCAGCCAATTCATGATTTAATTTAAAATTTGAGATGTGAGTCTTAGACTCACATCACCAGTATTGTGGTTATGATCTCAATGCACACATCTTGTCAAAACTACAACCATTGATAACTTCGCTCAAAATAAGTTAATTTGAATGAAATTTTCAATGCATTATTTATTTTTATACGCCCACATAGAAATGTGGTTGTATATTGCCGTCGGTACATGTACGTCGTCCACAATTTCTTGTGAACACTCTACAGACTACATTTATCATCTGATTGTTTTGAAATTGATATATTTTGTTTACATTAGTGAGATGAAGAAGCCTATTTAATTTGTATAATTGCTGTTTATTTCTTTGGGAGTTATGGCCTTTGTTTCACTTTTTGAACCTTGTGAACGCTCCTACAATAAATCTTATCATCCGATCTGTATGAAATTTATATGCATCATTTGAATTAGTGAAACTAAGAATCCTATTGAATTTCAGCAATTCCTGTTTATTACATCTAGAGTTATGACCCTTGTTTCACTTTGTTGAGTCTCGTGAACGCTCTACATGTAACAACAAAAGTGATGTATGAAATTTATATGCATCATTTATGTAGATTAGTGAAACGAAGAAGCCTATTGAATTTCAGCAACTCCAATAATTTCTTCCAGAGTTATTGCCCTTTTATCCCCCCATTTTGCAGGTCATGACCTATAAATAAACATGACAAAAAATGTTAAATGTTTCATACCACTGAGTAGAGGAATTTAAGATCTTTCCAACTATATACACATTTGTATGATTTATTCTTAAATTTAAAGAGTTACAGGATATATTCTTAACTATTTGCTTTTCCTAGTCAAAACCCCAAAACAATTCGAGGGTTAAAGGGTTAATTTGCAGTGAATTATTTAAGAAATACACATGTGTATAATATACATGTTCTAAATTATAAATTCAAATTCAATGTGAAGCATTGGATAATGAGAGGATGAGTCATATTGATTTTTCCAGTTCTCTGCCCATCTCTTTAAAAATATGGGCGTGAATTGCATGACAACCACTTGTTTCTTTATTTTTCAGTTTGGACGTCAAGTTAGATTAACAGATTTCAAGTTTAAAAATTGTGGAGATAAATCTAAGGATTTGTTTGTGATAAGTTCACTGGATATCCTCCCAGATCCTGTCCAGTTTCCAGGAACATTTACAATTAGTTTTTCTGGAGTTGCAAAGAAAACAATCAGCTCACCAGTTCCCGTAAGTTACATGCAGATATAAAAACAGATATATATATCTGTTTTAATATCTGTTTTATATTGTCGTTGAGCCTGTCCATCCGTCCACAATTTGTTTGTGGACATTCTACAGGTCACAATTTTTTTTCGATATTGACAAAATTTTAAATATAAGTCTATCTCCCAAAATATCGGTTTCTTTCGATATTGGCATATATCGGACCATAAATTCATGGACTATGGCCCCTGATTGTACGAAAAATCACGTTTTTAGCATGTGGTCACAATTTTCATCTGATTTTAATGAAACTTGAAATGCATGTTTTTAGCCTAAAGATCTTGGTTTCTTTCGATATTTGCGCATATAGGATCGTAACTTCCTGAATTTATGGCCCCTGACTGTACGAAAAATTGTGTTTTTAGCTTGAGATCCCTCTAGAGGTCACAATTATTATCCAATTTGAAAAAGCGTTTGAATATATCCCCGTTACACTGTAATGACGCTTGAGTTTGAATTTCATGAAAATCGGAACAAAACTGCCAGACAAAATGGCTGCCCCTCATACTCAAATAATGTAAAAATATGATATGTTGTGGACCCTCTAGAGGTCATAATTTTGATCTGATTTTGATGAAACTTGAAATGCTTGTTTATAACCCAAAGATCTTGGTTCCTTTTGATATTCACGCATATCAGATTGTAACTTCCTGAATTATGGCCCTTGATTGTACGAAAAATTGTGTTTTTAGCTTGTGGCCACTCTAGAGGTAACAATATTTATCCCATTTACAAAAACGTTTACATTACACCCTAATGATGGCTAAGTTCGAATTTCGTGAAAATCGGACCAAAATTGCTGGACAAAAAGGCCTCCACCCACCCTCGTACGTAAATAGCGTAAATATATGGTATATCAAGGTTGTGGATCCTCTAGAGGCCACAATTTTGATGAAACTTGAAATACATATTTATAACCCAAAGGTCTTGGTTCCTTTCGATATTCGCGCATTTCAGCTTGTTCTTTAAACATCTCTTGCAAAATGTGGGCATATCCTGCCTGGCAGCCGCTGGTTATGTGGCCACATTGAATTTTGGTATAAAATTTCTTCACCCCCATCCGTTATATTATGTATTACTGTGGTAACAAGAATATCTTAAATCTTGTGTTACTGTGGTAACAGCGGGATGTATCTACAAATCTTATGTTACAGAAGAATATGTTTAAATCCTGTTTTAACAGAGGAATAAATCTCTAAATTTTGTGTAACTGTTGTAACTCTGTTTATTTCAGGCTGAAGTTAAGATTGCTAAGAAAGAAGGAGACAAATATTTAGATTTGCCATGTATTCAGGGAGTTGGATCTTGTAATTATTCAGATGTTTGTGCCCTTCTGGCTCAAATTGGAACACAGTGTCCAGATCCTCTAGTAGAAGCTGGAATACCATGCCAGTGTCCTTACAATGCAGTAAGTAATGTTTTTGACAGTGTTAACAACAAACTTTAAAGATGCATTATGTACAATGTAAGATTTAGGTAAACAGCTGGCCATTCTTGCTATCATAGTTCAAAAATAGATTTCATTTAGAATTTCATTCAAATTACTTTATTCTGAGAAAAGTTATTTGTGTTAGAAAATGTAGCGTTGATTTATTATTATTGTAAGAACCAGGGCTTCCACTTTAAAATTTTCACTGACGATTATTTTTGATAACGCACGAAACCTTTGCAAAGTAAATTCATATTTCATGTTTTTTATTCATGGTAGGGAATTGTGAATTCAGGTTTCTATACCACTTTGTTAGCATGGGGTACACAAAAAAATATATATTGGACTTAAAAATGAAATATTAGTAAGGCTGACACGTATTTACCACATGCTCTATAGAAAACACACTGACCTGAATAATTTGAAGTTGTAATACAATAACTTCGAAATGAAGATTAATATATAATTTTCGATGGCATATATTTCACATTTATTGGATTTTGATCATCTATTACAGGCCTAATGAGATTAAGACTCAATCATTCATTTTATTGTTAGATTTTTAAATATCGCAGGTGTTCTAATCCATTTAAATCTCTGCCATCTGATGATCTAGAGAGTTGATTGTAGACTTGTTATGTGAATATATGCATAAATAATAATTTATATAACATATGATGCCAAATAAAGAACTGCAGTAGGCAGATTTACCTTTTACATAATGTATCTTTAAACTTTACTGCTACTGTACACTAAAATGAATACAAATATACTCTTCAAAAAAAGAAGGGGATATTGAAATGCAAATACCTATGCAGGTTGCGATATGATAAATAGTCATGGACACTTGACATGCTTTAAGAGTATGTTCACAGATGAAGAACTTACATGTATCGGCCCAACAGAACCACTGAGCTGCACATGCGACACACAATAGCGCCATACACGTGGGAGGGGTTCATTGTCAAAATTGACATTTCAAGGAAGGGTTGATGAAAACAGCCGCGTGCTGGTTTATCTATCCATGTTTGCTTTCCTTATTTCCTATCGGTTCTTGCATAAGATTTACTGTTTAGCGTATCTTTGCTTTAGTGTGTTACGTTTAATTTGATCAGGAGACATGTTCGTCGACGTCAACATCAACTGACAACACTGCAAGAATTGGCTGTGGCACTGTAAGAGGAATGGGTCAGATTGCCCCGAATCGTGATTGGACGGTTGATTAGGAGCATGCCGCAACAAATTGCTGAATGTCTGAGGATTGGTGGAGCAATTACTCATTATTAAGACAAAAATCAAAAACGTTCATTTTCACTTTTGATGGTGTATCTCTTTGTGAGTGAAATGGGACCGTCAGATAAGCCGCCCATATGAACTGTTTATGTCCATGTGTAGGCAATTGGCCTGTTATTAACATACACTGGTTACCTCTAATACAAACAGCAGTGCATTTCCACAGTTTTGTATTGTTTCTGAATATCCCCTTATTTTTTTGAAGAGTATATATTTACAACCAGTTACTACATGTTTTGTCCTTACGTCCTGTATGCACAATGACATGCATGTAAAAGAACCCTTGACAGTTGAAATTCCATTGCTATCCAGAAAAAATAAAGTTTCCTCATGGCAAACTGTAAGGTGTATGTATTCACGTATTCATTAGCCCAATTGGTGCAGAAAAAAGGACTTCTGCCCTATTTCATTCATCAATACCAAATTCAACTGGAAACATTTCAGAGATACCTCCGACACAGGAAATATATGATTGTCAACCAATATTAATGAATTAAAAATTTTCTAAATTTTTTAAAATAAGAATAGGGCATGCAGCTCTTTTTTACAAGGTACACATCATTATTTGAGAAAAGATTTGTTAATATGACCTGTGATAATATTCACTGTTAAGCTGATACTACTGAATTATGAACCTAGGGCAATTAATAATGAAATTTTTTTGTCATTAAATGATATAAGTGATCAGTTTTCTGGTTAGAAATTATACAGTAGTCATTAATTGGAAGGTGTGTTGTAAGTTACTTGTAAATAGCTGTAAGAGTGACTGTTTGTTAAACAGATGAAAACCAAAGAATTTCTATGGGGTGTGATGTCATGGAGTATGTGTGGCTGCTAGTACAGATTCTACTTTTATTAATAATTTTATGCCATGTTTTATTTTTATCATTTCAGGGAAGCTACAAACTTGAATCAGCAGCATTTAATGTCGGATCTGCCTTGTTGCCTACTGGAGATTATATGGCCAGCATTAATATGACTTCCGCAGATGGTCATGTTGGCTGTTATGAAATTAATGTCACATTGTCCTGTAAGTCATTAACTGAACTTTTAACGTAAGCATACTGCTGGTCATGTGACTGTAGGGATTTTGAGACAGTAGCGCCAGTCAATCAAAGAGCACTCTATTCTTTTGAACATTTTGAACAACAAAGATGGACTGATACTGAATTCTAATCTCGAATATTACGGATTTAATGACAAAACAGCAATTAGACTACCAATGTGGTCTAACTATGAGTAACGATCCTGTGATCTGTCTATAAGTAATCATCATGTTCATTACACCTTTTAATTGCTGGGGATTGGGTGGCCAAAAGATATAACACAGTGGTTCGCAACCTGTTGTTGGGTGCTACCTGATTCCAGAAACCAGCATCTGATCCTGACCTTGGTAAATCATCCATATCCTGATATACATGTAGATAGAGGGGGAATCTCCTAAACATATTTTCACTTTCCAAATCAAAACGTTGTAATGGGATTACGAGAGACTGAGAGAGGCAATTAGGAAAGGACGATTATCAATCTGGCAAGTGGTGTATAGATCAGAGATTTATATACTTTTCTGGAAAACATAGCATTTTTTTCAAAAGCTTCAGCGTAGTCTCCATGACCCCAAGTAAAGTACTTTGCAGGGTTCCGACTAAGAGAGGGAACCCAGGGTTTAACATGTTTCTCTAAAACTATTCAAGAAAAAGCTGAAATTTGGAGGTATTATTCTTGAAGGTGTAAACTAAACATGATGGCTTTTCCATAACTCTGTAACAAACAGATTTGTTTTTGTATGTCTGTGAAGTATGGTGACAACAAACGAAAATTGATGAACTCACCTTCAAGTTCTGTAAAGGCAAAATAATCACTGTTCATTCAAAAAAACACATAGCTGCAGAGATCGTTAACTAAATTTATACTCTTATATTGATAAATTGCCACAATTGATTTTTTTTCCGTCTGGGTAGGGGGTAAGAATTTACTCTTTGTAGAGACTTGGAATTTGGCATGTAGGTTTGTCTGTACAGCCCTAATAAGCTGTCCAAATACTCCAAATTTCATTTGGTTATCTTTACTCAGTCAAAAGTTAGAGTCAAAAGTATGTTTTCGACTAGCACATCCCCTTAAACCCATTAATTACGAAAATCTTCTGTTTTTCTTACAGAAATCGAAGAAGAATCTGGAAAAGAAGCTGGTAGAGACTCAAGATCTTCATTTTATTTCTCCTGCTTCTATTTTTGTATTACCATTCCTTCAAATTGTTTTCTTTATTTTTTTAGATTTGATATCTATAGACTAAACACATTGCAAATTAGCTTATATCTTTCAATATTTATTTTGTCTTTTTTTTTCTCTTTTTTTGATTGATTTTTAATTTACAAATTGTATTGGCACAATAGACCAGAATTTCCTGGGGTTTTCTAATTTCAGGATGGTTCGACCTCACGTTCCACTTATCTGGATTAGTTATAACTAGTCATTTGCATGGGACAAACAAGAATTTACTCCCTTGACAGATGAAATTTAGTTGACTGGAATACTGCTGTCCACACATGTGTACCTTTCTTAAAGATGCATTATTTAAAGGCTCAATACCACTCTTGTTGTAACTGAATAATATGTCCCAATCTTTATTCTGGTCAACAAATTGTACTATTCAAGAATATTTCAATTAATTGATGATACAAATTTCATCTTAACACACCTTATTTAAAAATTTTGAAAAATTCAACATAATGGTTTGAAACGTCTAACGTAAACCTTTTCAAATGAAACTTCGATTTAAAAATATTTTTGAACCCTCTGGACAAGTAAAATAGGGTGTAATGGATAATTTACACAACAGGTAGGACACTTAAACATCTAGTACTTAGATAGAGATATTATTTATTTGCTGGAGCTTTCAAGCCAGCAAGAGTGTTATTGTCCCTTTAAGAGCTAATTGTGACTATTGTGAAATTTATTCACATGACAAATCCATAATCAACTCTCTGAGTCAATGGGTGGCTCAGATAATGAATGGATTAGAAAACATTTGTCAATTTTTTAATTTAATGATGAAATGGACCTTGTTTATTATGTAACAAAGGTAGCAATGGAAATCAAGACTAAGCTATTCTTATGAAAACTTCACTCAGAATGAAGTAATTTGATTGAGATATTCAATATATCTAAATCTTACATAATGTATCTTTGATAGAATTGTTCTTTATTTCTCATATTATTTCTCATATTAGAGTATTTAATTGTTAAAATACCCTATGTAAATATATGATATGTACATGAAGGCTCAGATGTGTCATTTGTATATTCGCTAATATATCAAATTTCCATTCTAAGTTGATTATTGTAAGTGTATCTCTAAACTATTTTATGTTTTCATAAATAACCCTCTGGTTTGTATGGTGTTTTCCTAAACTATTTTATGTTTTCATAAATAACCCGATGGTTTGTATGGTGTATTCCTAAACTATTTTAAGTTTTCATGAATAACCCGCTGCTTTGTATGGTTTATTCCTAAACTATTTTAAGTTTTCATGAATAACTCTCTTGTTTGTATGGTGTATTCCTAAACTATTTTAAGTTTTCATGAATAACCCTCTGGTTTGTATGGTCTATCCTTAAAATATTTAAAGTTTTCATAAATAACCCTCTGATTTGTATAACATATCCCTAAAATATTTAAAGTTTTTTGAATAACGCTCTGGTTTGTATTGTGTAGATCTGAAGTTTCTCTATATTTTTTAAGAGTTTTTTTTTATAACAAACCTGTGTGTAGTGTGTTTATATTCACAAGGTTAATATTTAACTCCTATCAATTAAATCACTTTTATTCACCAGTTTGTGTCTCCATTTGAATCTTGCGTTCAGTAAATTCATGGATGGACTGAGAGGTCCATTAAATAAACCAATACTTTTGTTATTTGAAGTGCTATATTATAAATATTATAAATTCATCAGTTGTGTATATATAAAATTCCATAAGAATGAAAAAAAAAAAAAATATATATATATATATATATATATATATGTTATATTATTATTGTTCGATTTATATAGCGCTTTTCTGGTGTGGTTCCCCCTTGTCAGAGAGTCTGGCAAGGGACAACGTATAGTCGTTTGGATTTGACTAAAAACTGAGGTCCCATGTACACATTGGTGTGTACGTAAAAGATCCCTTGACAGTTGAAATTCGATATTAGAGTGGGCACTAGCGCGGTAATTCCGGCAAAATTTCCCTCATAGCACACTGTATGGCGTATGCCTGTCTTCTTAGCCCAGTCAGAGCTGAACAGTAGGACGTTAAACCTGATTTCATTTTTATACGCCCACATTGAAATGTGGACGTATATTGCCGTCGCCCCCGTCCGTCCGTCCATCGTCCACAATTTGTTGTGAACGCTCTAACGCCAAAAGTTATCATCCAATTGTTTTAAAATTGATATATGTTGTTTACATTAGTGAGATGAAGAAGCCTATTTAATTTTAATAATTTCCGTTTATTACGTCTAGAGTTATGGCCCTTGTTTTACTTTGTTGAACCTTGTGAACGCTCTAATGCCAAAAGTTAACATACGATCTTTGTGAAATTTATATGCAATATTTAAGTTAGTGAAACGAAGAAGCCTACAGAATTTCAACAATTTCTGTTTATTACGTTTAGAGTTATGGCCCTTGTTTCACTATATTGAACCTTGTGAACGCTCTAACTCCAAAAGTTATCATCCGATCTTTCTGAAATTTACATGCATTATTTAAATTAGTGAAACGAAGAAGCCTAATGAATTTCAGCAATTTCCGTTTATTACGTCTAGAGTTATGGCCCTTGTTTCACTTTATTGAACCTTGTGAACGCTCTAACGCCAAAAAGTTATCCGATCTTTCTGAAATTTATATGCATTATTTAGATTACTGAAACGAAGAAGCTTATTGAATTTCGGCAACATCCGTTAATTACGTCTAGAGTTATGGCCCTTTTTCACTTTTTTGATCCTTGTGAACGCTCTCACGTCAAAAGTTATCATTCGATCTTTCTGAAATTTATATGCATTATTTAGGTTACCTAAACGAAGAAGCCTATTGAATTTCAGCAATTTCTGTTTATTGCGTCTAGAGTTATGGTCCTTGTTTCACTTTATTGATCCTTGTGAACGCTCTTACGTCAAAAGTTATCATTCGATCTTTTCTGAAAATTATATGCATTATTTAAATTAGTGAGACGAAAATTCCTATTGAATTTCAGCAATTTCCGTTTATTACGTCTAGAGTTATGGCCCTTGTTTCACTTTATTGAACCTTGTGAACAGCTAAATCCATGATGTTAAAAGTTTCATATACTAAACGTTAGCATGGGGCAGAACTTAATAAAAACCAAACAAATTCTAATGGTTTTCTGAGAATTACTTAATGAGTTGTTACTCTTGGTCAGATTTTAATGTATTATAAATTATGTTTCATTACCGAAAAAAGTAAAAATATGTGACAACTCTTGTTGACTGCCCGAACGATTTAGCTGCTGTGGGCGTATGTTTCGTTGCCTGGCAACCTATCTTATATAAAGATGTAAACAAAGCATTTAAATTGATTGTACACACTATTTATGTAGTATTAGATACACCATTTGTTCACAATAAACATTAGGGTCTTTAACAGTATTTGTGTTAATTGTAAACATGGGTGATAATGCAGACAATTCTTATTTTTATTATCTTAGCTTACGCAGAGGTTTTTTTTCCTGTGGGAGGAAATGGGAGTACACAAAGTAAATCCACGAGGTTGAAAAGATGCCCCTATCTCCAAGCCACATACCTAACACCATTGATCGAAACCACGAAGGCAAGTCAGTGGTGACCGATCTGCTACATACCTCTGATTTCTGATCATATAAAACATGTCAACTGATTATGTATGAGATATCTTGAGAACAATTACAGTTGCTTAAAGGGACAATAACACTCTTGCTGGCTTGACAGCTCCAGAAAATAAATAATAGCCTTATTCTAAGTACTAGATGTTTAAGTGTCCTACCTGTTGTGTAAATTATCCATTACATCCTATTTTCGAGGGTTCGAAAATATTTTTAAATCCAAGTCACATTTGAAAAGGTTTACGTTAGGCTTTTCAAATCATTTAGTTGAATTTTTCCAATTTTTTAAATTGGGTGTGTTCAGATGAAATTTATATCACCAATTAATTGGAATATTGTAAGATAGTACAATTTGTTGACCAGAATAAAGATTATTCAGTTACAATAAGAGTGGTATTGAGCCTTTAATCAACGGCAGGGGGGTTGGGATGGCCTTGTGGTCTAGAGTGTCACGCTTCGACCTCTAGTTGGCCGGTCACCTCTGGCTTGCGGCTGTGGTTTCGATCCCAGGTGTGAGCGTATGTGGCTTGGAGATAGGGGCGCCTTCTCAACCTCGTGGGTTTACTCCGGGTACTCCGGTTTCCTCCCACAGCAAAGACGCGTGCGCTAAGATCATTAAAATGAACTTGTCTGCAATATCACCTTCGGTGGAAGCGGACGTTAAATGCTAAGAACAACATTTAATCAACGGCTTTATGTGACCCTAACATTATTCATGCTATACACAACAAATATAATAAATTATAACATCAATACAAATACATTCAGAAAGAGATTCATGCTTGAAAAGAAAGTTTACAGGAGCTAAACTAGAAATGGACACAAAAATGTAATATGAATTATGTGTGGTTTAACGGTCGAGAGCGAGACATTAACGATAAACTCGGGTATTTTAGCCATATTTGAAAATTGAAATGAGAAATAGTCTATTATATACTCTTCAAAAAAAGTAGGAATATTCAGAAACAATACAAAACTGCGTTTTTGATTTTTGTCTTAATAATGAGTAATTGCCGCACCAATCCTCAGACATTCAGCAATTCGTCGTGGTATGCTACTAATCAACCGCCCAGTCACGATTTGGGGAAATCTGACCCACTCCTCTTGCAGTGTTGTCGGTTGACGAACTCGTCTCCCGATCATGTCCCAGACATGCTCTATAGGTGAAAGGTTAGGACTCCTGTCTGGCCAAGGCATATGGACAATAATATGGTGACGCTGGAGGTAGTCATTCACGACACAGCGCGGTGAGCACGGGCATTATCATCTTGAAAGATGAAACGTCGACCTGCACGTTGAGCAAAGGGCAGAACTATGTGATCACGGTAGTACACACCGCAGTGACCCTTCCTTGAACAATATGCAAGTCCGTTCTGCCAGTCATGGTGATTCCTTCCCACGCCTGAATCTGTCATGCTTTCTGGCGTTAACGTTAGAATGACGCTCATTTACACGCTTCCAAACGCGAGCACGCCTATCGGTGAAATCCAGAGTAAATCTGGACTCATCTGAGAATATTAAACGCAGCCATCGACGATTACCCCAATTTCTACGCTGCTTATACACCATTGACGCCTGTTTGCTATGTGCTGGCGAGTTAATGGAGGCACAGCACGCGGTCGTCGCGCATGCAAATGGGCTTCCATGTAGTCGATTTCTAATCGTTTGGGGTGTTACTCGAATTCCTGTAACTTGGTAAAGTTTACCAAAAGCTGATTGGCCGTGTGTCCTCAATTTCGCAGGACCTGTGTACGAATGTATGGATCCTGGTTTTTTTGTAGTGGCTCTAGGACGACCTGAACGAGATCTATCATCAACATTATGTGTTTGTTGGTACCGGTTCCAGTCTGTTGATCACAGACTGTGACACATTAAGCATGTTGACTACTGCTCGCTGTGTAGAACGTAACACACTAAAGCAAAGATACGCTAAACAGTAAATCTTATGCAAGAACCGATAGGAAAGCAAACATGGATAGGATCAACCCTTCCTTGAAGTGTCAAATTGACAATGAACCCCTCCCACGTGTATGGCGCCATTGCGTGTCGAATGTGCAGCTCAGTGGTTCTGTTGGGGCGATAAGTTCTTCATCCGTGAACATACTCTCAAAGGTGGGGGGGGGGGTAGTCAGTTCCTGCAGCCAAAACTTTACATGGTGCCAACATTCTCCCAACGTAAATGTGGTTGGCCTCCGTGCGTCTATTTATTAAATATATATTGGGTTATTTTTGACGACGACGAAGTGTTTACGGGTGGGGGGGTAGGACACAAAATAATCTCAGAGTGCCCATATATCGGTTATTTCTCCACGGATCGTCTTCAGGTTTTCATTTTTGGATTCTTTTGACGAATCCCATACGGGCTCTGACTGGCGGTTTTTTTATAAATTCGGAAGTTCGCTCGATTAATATTAGCATCAAAGATTTGCGAAAGTTTTCTTAATCATTTTTTCGACATTCAAGATGGCGCTTGGCCGCTAGGCACCAAATGGCAACAATCCTTAGGGAGCCGATTTTTGAATTTCAATTTTGTTTACTTCCGGTTTCACTTTGAAGTTTGTTCTAGTTATTTTTATTTATTTTTTTTTATTTTTTTTCGGGAATTTAGTCAGTTTGTGCAACTAAAATTGTACATGGTGCAAGCATTCTGCCAACAGAGGTGTGGTTGGCCTCCGTGCGTCTATATTGGGTCATTTTTGACGAACAGGAAGTGTTTTACGGATGGGACAAAAAGTAATCTTAGATTACCCATATATCCCGGTTATTTCTTAACGGATCTTCTTCGGGTTTTCTTTTTTTCGATTCTTTGGACGAATCCCATAAGGGCTCTGACTAACGGTTTTTTGAAATTCGGATTAATATTCGCATCCAAGATTTGCGAAAGTTTTTCTTCATCATTTCTCGACATTCAAGATGGCGTATATCCGTCACTATTTGAGGTATCAAGTTGGAACTTGGTAGGAATAAGGAACACACCGATGCCTTCAAAATGCCATATTAAAAAAAATTGTGAATTTTGTGACGGCTTCCGGAAACTTCCTGAAATTACCGAGACCTTCCGATTTTTCCCGAACATGAATAGTAATATAATGCACTCAAAACCTACATTTCAATATATTGCACATCTTTTTAGTGAACTTTATGAGTTTCCCTCTAAAATGAGCCTCCATTTTGAATTTGGTCCTCTAGCGGAATTAGCCATCACTTTCAGGAGGAATACCCTAGCTCATTGGATTCAGCGGGTCGAATTATTCTAGAAACATATTCAAACCGAGGTCCGAGAGCAGCTGCCGCATATTTTACCCCACTAAACAACCACAAAGCGCCTCATGTCGGCCATCTTGAATATATAAATTTCCCCAATTCTGAATCTACACATATAGAAGATATATAATCCACCAATAAACATTAGGTGGGCTATATTTCCATGTCAAGGCTTAAAATGGGGTTTGGCAACTGGACTTTATGGTTTGTATGTCAGTGGTCACTGAGTTGAACCACTACTTATTATTCTTCATACAATTACTTAATCTTTAAGAGATATTACATACTCATGAAAATATGCAATACCCATAATTCTCAATAAGTCTAACCCAGCTGATAAAGCCAAGTTTTTGGGAGGGGGGCGCTTGGCTGTCATGTCTCTTGGGAGAACCCCACCAAACAAACTCTCTAGCAATGGGCAGTGTGATCCCTGGGGTGCTGAACAATTTCCAAGCAGTTTTAAGTGGTACACACTTCAGTCACTCTAGCCTAATTGCGAGACGTGTCATTTTGGGCGTGTCTGTTAGGGGTAACCCACCGTACAATCTGTTTGGCAGTGATCATTCATGATTCCTTTGGTGGTGCTGAACAACACCAAAGCAGTTACATATTTCAGCTAATCTAGCCTAGTTGCGGGGCGGGGAATTTTGGATGTTTCTTTCAGTGGTACCCCACCGCAATATCTGTCTGGCAGTGGTAATCCATGATCCCTGTGGTGATGCTGAACAACTTCCAAGCACGTTTAGGTGGTACGGAATTCAGCTAATCTAGTCTAGTTGGGGCGGGGTGGCTTGGTATTTTCGTCGTATCTGTCGGGGTAACCCACCGCACAAATTGTCTGGCAGTGACCATTCTTGATTCCTGTGGTGGTGCTGAACAACTTCCAAGCAGTTTTAAGTGGTACAGATTTCAGCTAATCTAGCCTAGCTGTGGTCTGGCAATTACATAACTCTGTCGGGGGTACCCCACCACTATAAATGTCTGTCAGAGTGTTTTTCTAATACTTCAAGATGTACGGTACCCTGCCGTACCATTTTCATGTGGTACACTTTTGAGCTAATCTAGCTCAAGAATTCATACCCAGTATCGAAGCCCTCACAGCCACACCCACCACCAGATACCCGGCAGACTTACATTTTGATGATACCAGATATGCATGCTTTGATACCATATATGCGAAAACTGGTACAATTTTCAGCTAGGTTGACCCCCTGGGCTCCTGCTCTACTAAGTGAGAGTGGTAGTTTCATTGCATCAATACCTTGACTAAGTTCGATAATGAGCATATTCTGCTTAGGTTAAGGAGTGATAAGCAATTTGATTGTTCGAGACTTTGAAAAGTAACAGCTATACATTTGATGGAGATAGAATAATATTTTGGACCTAGAAATTGACACAAAAGGGTTGCAACCCGCCAAAAATTGAATATGAATGTATATAAACTGATTTACATTCGACCGTTTCCGTTTTTACTGTAATTTCCAATCAATTATGTTTGGCGAATTACGTTAGAAGTCTC